ATTGTTGTTTATTAGTCATTATAATGTATCATTGTTGTTTATTAATGTTTAGTTGTTGTTTATCAGTCATTATAATGTATCATTGTTGTTTATTAATGTTTAGTTGTTGTTTATCAGTCATTATAATGTATCATTGTTGTTTATTAATGTTTTATTGTTGTTTATCAGTCATTATAACGTATAATGGTTGTTTATTAATGTTTTATTGTTGTTTATTAGTCATTATAATGTATCATTGTTGTTTATTAATGTTTAGTTGTTGTTTATTAGTTATATGTTTTGTTGTTTTTAATGTTTTATTGTTGTTTATTAGTCATTATAATGTATCATTGTTGTTTATTAATGTTTAGTTGTTGTTTATCAGTCATTATAATGTATCATTGTTGTTTATTAATGTTTGTTGTGTTTATCATCATTATAATTAATGGTGTTTTTAATGTTTTTGTTGTTTTTGCATTATAATGTATCATTGTTGTTTATTAATGTTTAGTTGTTGTTTATTAGTTATTATAATGTATTATTGTTGTTTATTAATGTTTAGTTGTTGTTTATTAGTTATTATAATGTATTATTGTTGTTTATTAATGTTTTATTGTTGTTTATTAGTTGATATATTCCAGTAAAATATTTCGTATGTCTCAGCAATTATTAACAAGTGTTATCAGTTAGTGTGTCAGCAGCACCAATAAGAACTTCATTGGTTATATAATAGTTATATTCTTGACTTCAGTCACTTAATAATTAATAAACTATTAATTACAGAGAACTAAAACAAATCAATAATTTAGGGGTTTTTTTTACTAATCAGAACACAAACATTTTCCAAAGATATATCAATCAGTGATTGATTATGTCACTGACAGTGATTCAATCATCACTGATCACTGATCGATACACTGATCACTGATTGATACACTATATAAAGAGACCCTTTAACTGGAAGCAGATTTCATTCATAAAATAACCTACAGAATTATTTTATTTCAATAAAACCAACTTGTGTTGATTGAAGTCAAACAAATTAAAAACAGGACATTTTCTAACGGAGTCTGGCTCAAAGAGGATTATAACGCGTGTTTAGAGCTGAGGTGTCTTGCTTGGATGCAGTAGGGCGAAGTCCATTAGGAAATCTACTAATTTAACGTATCCATGTCTACCGGCTGAGGAGTCTCTGACATAAAATGAGAATAAACATATTTCCTGTAGCAACAAGTGTGACTCTTCGATTCGGCAGACATGTAATATCTCAGACTGCCAGAGCTCCCGTGGCTTTTAACTGTTTATGTGCAGCTCATCACTTTTTCCCACCATCCTGAGACAGCCGGTGATATGAGAGCGCCGATAGTGTGATCAAGTTCTACAAGATGATAAGTGTTATTGGATCGATACATATTGGTTTTATAGGAGCCGAATCAATCCCAAGACTCTGTTGATTTCAATATAGTATGTAGTTTACTTTTAAAACGTACATGAATCTGTCAAAAAACTAATAAATAAAAAGACCCCAGATATTAAACAGAGTTTGGCGTGCTATTTCTTCCCCCTCAAAGAACGGGAGAGTACCGGGCTCGCTGACGTCTGAGCGGCTGATATTTCACTTCCCTCCGGTAACCGCGGTGGTTCAACACCGCGTCGGTGGAAATATGATAAACACACAACAACAAAGTTAGAGGAAAAGTGGAATTACCCACCTGCTAACAGCGGGGTGGGGGGCGCCATGTTTACGTGTTCCGGAAGAAGAAAGCTGTCTCCCGGAAATGCGTAAGAGCTCGAGGAGGCGGGACGTCCAGTGCCACATCAGCATACAATCGAGCCTTTTCTTCAACGCGGATTTTAAAAACCAACTTTATTATTAATTAATGATTCTGACATAAACGGCGACATTTTAAATCAAACATAAAACACATTATTTCAATGAATAATAAAAATATTGTTTTTATACCTGTTAGAAGTTTGTGTTGAGTTGGACAGCGGCGGGAAGCTAACAAAGAGCAACCGACGGGGAAGTCACTTCCGGTTTCAAAGTAAAAGCGCGGTGTAGTTTACAAATACAATAGTATGTTAAATATTAAATACACAATTTATTTAAACTTTTAAACAAATAAATCTATAAAGACAGACTGAAATATATAGTCCAAAATGTAAATTTGGGAAAATATATTTTACCATTAAGATCGCAACATGTACAATTAAGTGAATCTTTGAGTATTTACATTAAAAATAATTACTATTAATGTTAACATTAAAGTCATTTTTGTTTCTTGTTCAACATCTTTATCAACAAAATTCAATTCAATTCAATTCAATTTTATTTGTATAGCGCCAACAGAAGTTATCTCAGGACACTTATCTCAGCCACTCCATGGCTAACTGTAGTATTTATAAAATAAAAAAATAAAAAGTGCTCAAAAATGCCAAAAAAGTATTAAGGCGACGTGAACAAAGTAGTACGAAAGTAAGAAAACTGTTAAAAATAGCAAAAAACACACTGAAAACACTGAAAACACATCAAACTACAACAATGATAGGAGCTGCCATGACAGGCTGCCGTTGTCACCGGCGCCATGACCCGCTCACGAATGCACTGAATCATATCCAGTAAAGAAGTGCCAATTAAGGGAACAACTTCTTTAAGCAGCCTAGTTGGGATCGGGTCTAATAGACAGGTTGATGGCTTCGATGAAGAAATGATTGAAGTTAACTGATGAAGATCGATAGCAGAAAAACAGTCTAAATATATATCTAAGTTTACATTGACAGAAGTCCCTGAACTTGGAGAGCCACTGATAACTGTTGATGGCAGTTGGTGATTAATTTTCTCTCTAATAGTAATAATTTTATTATAGAAGAAGCTCATGAAGTCATTGCTACTTAAGTTTATGGGGATATGTGGCTCAATAGAGCTGTGACTCTCTGTCAGCCTGGCTACAGTGCTGAAGAGGAACCTAGGGTGACCTTACAACAATACAATAACAAATACAACCAAAATACAGTAAGTAAAATGTACAGTGCTTTTCAGAGGCACAACAAAGGAGCCAATACATTATACAATAATAAATACAAAACAATAAAATACTAATAACTCTATAATAAAATTAATTCCAAAAGTTGTTTTCTTCTTTTAATAAACACACAATAACAAACATACAGGAATACATATTTAAAATACAACATGAACTAAAACAGAGGGATTTATATGAATAATATAATAATATATATCATATAATATAATATGGAAACATAAAATTAGACAGTTAATCTTTTATAAATAAGAAACAAAATAAACCCACGAAGAGCAACAATTTCAATATAGTTATATTCAGGAGTGAGGTCGAGGTCGATGTGGATTTAATTTTGAAAGAGCGTACAGGAAGTTTTATTCTGACAGGAAGTAGCTTTACAGTTCCGGTGACGGGCGGAGGGGGCGGGGCTTCGCCTTTTTGAGGACGTAGACAAGAGAGAGGAACTCCTAGTCGGTTCATCACAGAGGAAGAGAAGAAGAGAAGAGTCACCAACAAACTCCGACCGAAGAAAAAACAACAACCAAACAACTAAACTCAACAAGAACAACAACAACAACAACAACAACAACAACAAGAAGAAGAAGAAGATGGTGGCCAAACAGAGGATCCGCATGGCGAACGAGAAACACAGCAAGAACATCACTCAGAGAGGAAACGTGGCCAAATCAACGGTGAGTCCAACACACAACACACACACACACAACACACACACACAACACAACACACACACACACACACACACACACCACACACACACAACACACAACACACACACACAACACACACACAACACACACACACACACACACACAACACACACACACACACACACACACACACACACACACACACACACACACACACACACAACAAACACACAACACACACACAACACACACACACACACACACACACACAACACACACACACACACAACACACACACACACACACACACACACAACAAACACACAGTCAGTAACCAGTAACCAGTCAGAACACACAGTCAGTACCACCAGTAACCAGTCAGTACACACAGTCAGTAACACAGTCAGTAACACAGTAACACAGTCACAACAAACACACAGTCAGTAACCAGTAACCAGTCAGTAACCAGTCAGTAACCAGTCAGAAACCAGTCAGTAACCAGTCAGAAACCAGTTAACCAGTAACCAGTCAGTAACCAGTCAGTAACCAGTAACCAGTCAGAAACCAGTCCACAGTGGCACTGAGGGAACCTGAAGAACCAGTTCAGTTTTAGCTTCAGGAAGTTAAATCTTTACTCTCGTTTGTGTTTAAAATCAATCAATCAGATTGATTGGCTGTTTAAACTGATCAATAACTGCATTAATGAACCAAACAGAGCTGACATATGGATCAGTGTAGTTGATTGATTATTATTTGTACGATCAGCTGATCGATTATCAGGAAGTTTCTTCTTCAAAAGTTTGTTTTATTGTGAAAGAAAGCAGAATGTGAATCTGCAGAGATCAATAATCAGATCAATAATCAATACCTTCTGATGTGTTTGTGTGTAACCACAATGTTTGATCACAAGTGATCAGCTGATCAATAAGTGTGTGTTTTCAGAGGAACATTACAGAGGACAAAGGTGTTGGTCCCTGGCTGCTGGCGCTCTTCGTCTTCGTCGTCTGTGGATCGGGTGAGTCTCCTCTTCCTCTTCCTCCTCTTCTTCCTCTTCCACCTCCTCTTCTTCCTCTTCCACCCCCTCTTCTTCCTCTTCCACCCCCTCTTCTTCCTCTTCCACCCCCTCTTCTTCCTCTTCCACCTCCTCTTCTTCCTCTTCCACCTCCTCTTCTTCCTCTTCCACCCCCTCTTCTTCCTCTTCCACCTCCTCTTCTTCCTCTTCCACCTCCTCTTCTTCCTCTTCTTCCTCTTCCACCTCCTCTTCTTCCTCTTCTTCCTCTTCCACCTCCTCTTCCTCCTCTTCCACCTCCTCTTCCACCTCCTCTTCCACCTCCTCTTCTTCCTCTTCCACCTCCTCTTCCACCTCCTCTTCTTCCTCTTCCACCTCCTCTTCTTCCTCTTCCACCTCCTCTTCTTCCTCTTCCACCTCCTCTTCCACCTCCTCTTCTTCCTCTTCCTCCTCCTCTTCTTCCTCTTCTTCCTCTTCCTCCTCTTCTTCCTCTTCCTCCTCTTCCACCTCTTCTTCCTCTTCCTCCTCTTCTTCCTCTTCCTCCTCTTCCACTTCCTCTTCCTCCTCTTCTTCCTCTTCCACCTCCTCTTCTTCCTCTTCCTCCTCTTCCTCCTCTTCCTCCTCCTCTTCTTCCTCTTCTTCCTCTTCCTCCTCTTCCTCCTCTTCCTCCCCCTCTTCCTCTTCCTCCTCTTCTTCCTCTTCCTCCTCTTCCACCTCTTCTTCCTCCTCCTCTTCTTCCTCTTCCTCTAGCAGCCACAAACACTTCCTGTTTGTTTGTAATCAATAACTTTTAGACTCCATTATATTAAAATAAAACTGATCAAATCATTATAAAATCAATCTTTTTGAATTTATGGATTATGGATTTCAATGTAAAACAAAACAATTAGTTTATAATAAATATCAATAAATCAATAAAAACAAGGTTTTGTTTGTTTATGTAACAATAATAATGATCAATAACTGTTAAGGATCAATAAACGTGCCAGCAGCTGACGTCAGCTTTAGGAGGCTCCGCCCCTTGATGATGTCAAAGAGATATAGGGGCGGGGCTTATCGCCCAGAGGAGGCGGCTGTGATTGGCTGTTTTATATTTTATTACTTTCATATTGATCATATTGATATTGATTGATTTGTAGAAAGTATCTCAGGACACTTTCAGATAGAGAACATTAATAATAACAGTAACAGTGTAGCTAAGCTAACAGTAGCATCTGACAGAGGGGGGCGGGGCTTATCGACCAGGATCAATGTCACTGCGCCCTGTGAGGGTCACGATCACCGATCAATAATGAACATCTGCTGGGTTCCAGGTGTTTATCTGAGCGCGCTCAGAGCGGACTGAGATCAGCGAGGAACTGATTGGTGATTGATTATTGATTATTAGTCAATAGGATCAATTCACATATTAACACTCAAACTATTAATTGATCAGGAAATGTTTGGTTAATGTATTGATTAATAAAAACAAACATTGTTTGTGATATAAATAATAATAATAATAATAATAATAATAATAACATTAATAATAATAATATTAATATTATAATAATATAATAATAATAATAATAATATTAATATTATAATAATATAATAATAATAATAATATTAATAACATTAATAATAATAATATTAATATTATAATAATATAATAATAATAATAACATTAATAACACTAATAATAATATAATAATAATATTAATATTATAATAATAATATAATAATAATGAGGGAGAAGATTTAAACTAAATGTAGAAAAGAAAAATATTTATATTTATTTTAGTAATAAATAAATATATATAATAGTTATATTTAGTAAACAACCTGTTTGTTTGTTTGTTTGTTTGCAGCTATCTTCCAGATCATCCAGAGCATCAGGATGGGCATGTAGACTGATGACGTCACCAGCAGGGGGCGGAGCTTCTGCTGCCCCCCCTCCCCCAGAACTGAACCCGCCAAAACATTCCTGGACTCGCCTCCCCCCTCCTCCTCCTCCTCCTCCTCCCCTGCTCTCTGACCTTCACTCTGTCTGTTTACCTGAGCTTTAGCCCCGCCCCCTCTGATTACACCTTATCAGTCCTACGGGGGGGCAGAGTCCAACCTGATCCAGACCAGGACCAGGTCTAAGGTTTCTACTTCTTCACATTCCAGCTTTCTGTCCTCCTCCTCCTTCTCCTCTTCCTCCCCCTCCTCTTCTTCTTCCTCCTCTTCCTCCTCCTCTTCCTCCTCCTCCTCCTCAGTGGAAATAGAGATGAAGGTCTTTTGAATCAGAAGGTTTGGAGGTGCTGCAGGTGTGTGTGTGCACTGTGTGCAGTGTCACCTGAACAAAGCTGAACAATAAAGTTTCATTTTGAACACAGACGCTGGTTTCTTCTTCATGTCTCATTAATGTGGTTCAACTGGAGGGACAGGGACTCACTGGGGGACCCTGCTGGGACTCACTGGGACTCACTGGGGGACCCTGCTGGGACTCACTGGGACTCGCTGGGGGACCCTGGTCTGTGACAGTGCTGCTGCAGTGCCTCAGTCTGGCCACACGGTGGTGCTGTTGGGTTGTTTTCTGTCCCGGTTCAGGAGCTTTATGACATTAAACCAAAGTCCATTCAATAATCAGACAATTTATTGTTTCCTGTTCACAGGTAAAGATCAACAGTAATCAAGTATTCAATACCATTAATTATTGATTGTGAATATAGTTTAATCAATAAGAAGAGTGACTCAGTCTGTCCACAGAGTGGTGCTGTTTGAATACACAGTCTGGTGAATGGAGGCTGAGAGTATCCCACAACACATCACAACACACCTGCAGCCTGTACACCAAACTCCATTCAAAAATCTGGCATTTTAACATTGTCTTGTTTTGAAGTTTCAGGTCTTCTTAAATTTTATTTTAGTGTGTTTATTTATTTATTTGATTTGAATGTAAAGTATATTTATATAATTTTTATCATTATGTGTTTGACCCATATTGAGTCTTAATTACATTCATTCTTTAATTCAATTCAATTCAATTCAATTTTATTTGTATAGCGCCAATTCATAACAGAAGTTATCTCAGGACACTTTTCAAATAGAGCAGGTCTAGACCGAACTCTTTAACATTAATTACAGAGACCCAACAGTACCACCATGAGCAAGCACTTGGCGACAAGGGCAAGGAAAAACTGCCTGTTAAAAGGCAGAAACCTAGGACAGATCCTCCGGCTCTAGGTGGGTGGTCGTCTGTCTCGACCAGTTGGGGTGAGAGAGAGAGAGAGAGAGAGAGAGAGAGAGAGAGAGAGAGAGCGACAGACAGACAGACAGGTGCACAGCAACAACAGTATTGGCAATGGCAGTCAAGCAGGACCATGGCAGGAGGCTCCACCAGGATCCATGAGAACCTGCGAGACGAGAAAGCACAAGAACTCCGGGGAAGAAGTGGAGTTAGTAACATGCATTAAAGGGACATGAATGAGTGCAGAAAGAGAGAGGAAGAGAGTAGCTCAGTGCACCATGGGAAATCCCCCGATAGTCTAGGCCTATAGCAGCATAACTAAGGGATGGTTCAGGACTCACCTGATCCAGCCCTAACTATAAGCTTTATCAAAGAGGAATGTCTTAAGCCTACTCTTGAAAGTGGTGAGGGTGTCTGCCTCCCGAACCACAACTGGAAGCCGGTTCCACAGGAGAGGAGCTTGGTAACTGAAGGCTCTGGCTCCTGTTCTACTTTTAGAGACTATAGGAACCACAAGTAGCCCAGCATTCAGAGAACGTAGTGTTCTAGTGGGGTAATAGGGTACTATGAGCTCTTTAAGATATGAAGGGGCCTGACCATGAAGAGCTTTATAGGTGAGGAGGAGTATTTTAAATTCAATTCTACATTTTATAGGGAGCCAATGCAGAGTAGCTAGTACAGGAGAGATGTGATCTCTTTTTTTAGTTCCTGTCAGTACTCGTCTGCAGCGTTCTGAATTAATTGGAGCGTTTTAATGGACTTATTGGGGCAACCTGATAATAAAGAGTTGCAGTAATCCAGCCTTGAAGTAACAAATGCATGGATTAGTTTTTCTGCATCTGTCTGTGATAGTATGTGTCTAATTTTTCTAATATTACGTAAATGAAAGAAGGCAGTCCTAGAGGTCTGCTTTATGTGGGAGTTAAATGACAAATCCTGATCAAAGAGAACTCCAAGATTCCTGACAGTGGTGCTAGAGGCCAAGTTAATGCCATCTAGAGTGACTATATCTTTAGACAATGAGTCTCTAAGGTTTTTGGGGCCAAGAACAAGAATTTCGGTTTTTTCTGAGTTTAACATCAGAAAATTGCAGGTCATCCAGGATTTTATGTCCTTAAGACATGTTTGTAATTTAGATAATTGATTAATTTCATTGGGTTTGATTGATAGATATAACTGCGTATCATCTGCATAACAGTGAAAGTTAATGGAGTGATTCCTAATAATGTTGCCTAAAGGGAGCATATATAAAGTAAATAGTATTGGTCCAAGTACAGAACCTTGTGGAACTCCATGACTAACTTTAGTATTTATGGAGGATTCATCGTTAACATGTACAAACTGAGTACGATCTGATAAGTATGACTTAAACCAGGTTAGGGCGGTTCCTTTAATGCCAATTTGATGCTCAAGTCTCTGTAAAAGAATATCATGGTCAATGGTGTCAAATGCAGCACTAAGATCTAATAATACAAGTACAGAGACAAGTCCATTGTCAGAAGCAGTCAGAAGGTCATTATTAACTTTAACCAGAGCTGTCTCTGTGCTATGATGAACTCTAAATCCTGACTGAAAATCCTCAAATAAACTATTGTTATGTAGAAAGTCACACAACTCTTTGGCGACTACTTTCTCCAGAATCTTAGAGAGGAACGGGAGGTTAGAAATCGGTCTATAGTTGGCTAAAACCCCTGGGTCAAGAGTAGACTTTTTAAGAAGGGGTTTAATTACAGCTACTTTAAAGGACTGTGGTACATATCCTGATAATAAAGAAAGATTAATCATATCCAGTAAAGAAGTGCCAATTAAGGGAACAACTTCTTTAAGCAGCCTAGTTGGGATCGGGTCTAACAGACAGGTTGATGGCTTCGATGAAGAAATGATTGAAGTTAACTGATGAAGATCGATAGCAGAAAAACAGTCTAAATATACATCTAAGTTTACATTGACAGAAGTCCCTGAACTTGGAGAGCCACTGATAACTGTTGATGGCAGTTGGTGATTAATTTTTTCTCTAATAGTAATAATTTTATTATAGAAGAAGCTCATGAAGTCATTGCTACTTAAGTTTATGGGGATATGTGGCTCGATAGAGCTGTGACTCTCTGTCAGCCTGGCTACAGTGCTGAAGAGGAACCTAGGGTTGTTCTTATTTTCTTCTATTAGTGCTGAGTAATAGGCTCCTCTGGCATTACGGAGGGCCTTTCTATAAATCTTAAGATCATCTTGCCAATTTGAGCGATATTCTGATAATTTGGAAGAGCGCCATTTCCTTTCAGATTTCCTAGCTATTTGCTTTAACTGGCGGGTTTGGTGGTTATACCAAGGTGCTAGTCTCCTATGTTTTAATAATTTCCTTTTTATAGGAGCGATAGAGTCTAATGTTGATCGTAGTGAGCCTGTAGCACTATCGACAAGATTATCAATTTCAGAGGGACTAAAGTTGTTATAGGACTCTGTTAAATTCAGACATGGCATTGAATTAAACACTGAAGGAATCTCCTCCTTAAATTTAGCTACAGCACTGTCAGATAAACATCTGCTGTAGGAAGTTTTGCCTAATGGCTTATAATCTAATAGTATGAATTCAAAAGTTACTAAATAATGGTCAGATAGGAAAGGATTATGTGGGAAGACTATTAAATGTTCAATATCAATGCCATATGATAAAACAAGGTCAAGAGTGTGATTAAAACAATGAGTTGGTTTATTTACACTCTGACAGAAGCCAATTGAGTCTATTAATGATATAAATGCATTACTAAGGCTGTCATTGTTAACATCCACATGAATATTAAAATCACCTACAATAATTACTTTATCTGATTTAAGGACTAAGCTTGATAGAAACTCTGAAAATTCAGATATAAAATCAGAGTACGGTCCAGGAGCGCGGTACACTATAACAAATAGAACTGGCTGCAGTGTTTTCCAGTTTGGGTGAGAAAGACTAAGAACAAGGCTTTCAAATGAATTATAATTTAGTTTAGGTTTAGGGTCCATTAAAACGCTCGAATCATATATAGCTGCTACTCCACCTCCTCGGCCTGTGCCTCGAGGAATGTGAGTATTAATATGACTGGGGGGTGGATTCATTTAGGCTAACATACTCCTCGTGGGACAACCAGGTCTCAGTAAGACAAAGTAAATCAATATCATAATCTGATATTAATTCATTCACTAGAACAGCTTTAGAGGACAGAGACCTGATATTTAACAGTCCACATTTCATTCTCTTATTTTGTGCTACTGAGGAGTTGGTTTTAATTTTTATTAGATTTTTATGTTGAACTCCTCTTGTTTTTATTTCTTTAAATAGTTTAGGTGGTCGGGGGACAGACACAGTCTCTATGGGGGTTTGGGTGGGTGACTGTTCTAAAGAAAGCGCAGAGGAGTGTGTAAGACAGCAGCTCTGCTTCCTGGTCCTAACTCTGGACTGTCAGGTTTTAGAAATAAACTTCGCCATATTTCTAGATAAGAGAGCCGCTCCATCCAAAGTGGGATGGATGCCGTCTCTCCTAATCAGACCTTTATAAAGACAACAATCTGTAAGAGCTGCCTGAAGAAGCTTTTATTAATAATGAAATAAATAATCTTTATTAATAATAGTTTGATTTGATCTGAAACTGTCTCCTGTTGATCTGATGAGCTCTCTGCTCTTCAATGGACCAAATTTGTTGTTCCTGTGTGGACGGAGCCGGTCTGACCCCCATCAGCGCAGCAGACAGACACAAACAGCAGATGTGGGTCAGCGAGGGTAAAACCCAGACCCCCCAGACCCTCCAGACTCCCCCCCAGACCCCCCTGACCCCCTTTGTTTCCTTCTGTCTGATAAACATCATCAGTCTGAACCTGTTCAAATATATATCATCTGATTAATTCTTTATTATAATCAATAATCTGTGGTCTGTGCTGCATATTTAATCATCTTCAGATAGTAATGATTTAGATTTTTCATTTGTTCTCATAAAAAATAATATTACATTTATTTGAAAATAAAAGTCTAAAATGTGACACTTTCACATCATTATATGTGTGTAATATTTATGTACATATATAATAATTATAATAATTCTACATGTATAATATTAATAAAGTATAATAATGTTAATTTTACACATATAATGTATATATACAGATACAGAATATTAAAGGTGCAGTGCAGCTGTAAAACTAAAGAGGTTTCACTGTGTTACTGTCTGATGATCCACGTTGGTTCTGGTGGTCTCAGGGTCAAACAGTCCCACATTCATCCTCATGGTTCAGCACACCTGTCTGGGGTCATATTGTGTCATAATGATCATATTATCCATTGATATTCAATTCATATGAATGTTTGACGGTTTTTATTTGTATAAAAACTCACTTTCTCATGTTGTAAGTAAAAGACACAAAATACAGCTATGCATTATGGGTAAAACAACTACAGTAATGGTCTACAGGGTTAGGGTTAGGGTGCACACAGAGACACTGTTAGGGTTCAGAAACTGGACGAGACTGTAGGACGTCCAACAAGACGCTGTGATTGGCTCAGATCAGGATAATAATGACAACCTGAATGTTTCCTTCATTGATCTTTGATTGGTTCCCCGGAGTTTAATGGAGTTTACATCATATCATATTGTATTGTGTCATATTGTACTGTGTCATATTGTGTCATACTGTACTGTCATATTGTATTGTGTCATATTGTACTGTGTCATATTGTGTAATATTGTACTGTGTCATATTGTACTGTGTCATATTGTGTCATATTGTACTGTGTCATATTGTACTGTGTCATATTGTACTGTGTCATATTGTGTCATATTGTACTGTGTCATATTGTACTGTGTCATATTGTACTGTGTCATATTGTGTCATATTGTACTGTGTCATATTGTATTGTGTCATATTGTACTGTCATATTGTGTCATACTGTACTGTGTCATATTGTATTGTGTCATATTGTACTGTCATATTGTGTCATACTGTACTGTGTCATATTGTATTGTGTCATACTGTACTGTCATATTGTATTGTGTCATATTGTACTGTGTCATATTGTGTCATACTGTACTGTGTCATATTGTACTGTGTCATATTGTGTCATACTGTACTGTGTCATATTGTATTGTGTAATATTGTACTGTGTCATATTGTGTCATATTGTACTGTGTCATATTGTATTGTGTCATATTGTACTGTGTCATATTGTGTCATATTGTACTGTGTCATATTGTGTCATACTGTACTGTGTCATATTGTATTGTGTCATATTGTACTGTCATATTGTGTCATACTGTACTGTGTCATATTGTATTGTGTCATATTGTGTCATACTGTACTGTGTCATATTGTATTGTGTCATACTGTACTGTCATATTGTATTGTGTCATATTGTACTGTGTCATATTGTGTCATACTGTACTGTGTCATATTGTACTGTGTCATATTGTGTCATACTGTACTGTGTCATATTGTATTGTGTAATATTGTACTGTGTCATATTGTGTCATACTGTACTGTTTCATATTGTGTCATATTGTATTGTGTCATATTGTATTGTGTCATATTGTACTGTGTCATATTGTGTCATACTGTACTGTGTCATATTGTATTGTGTAATATTGTACTGTGTCATATTGTGTCATACTGTACTGTGTCATATTGTATTGTGTAATATTGTACTGTGTCATATTGTGTCATACTGTACTGTTTCATATTGTGTCATATTGTATTGTGTCATATTGTATTGTGTCATATTGTATTGTGTCATATTGTACTGTGTCATATTGTGTCATACTGTACTGTGTCATATTGTATTGTGTAATATTGTACTGTGTCATATTGTGTCATATTGTGTCATACTGTACTGTTTCATATTGTGTCATATTGTATTGTGTCATATTGTATTGTGTCATATTGTACTGTGTCATATTGTGTCATACTGTACTGTGTCATATTGTACTGTGTCATATTGTGTCATACTGTACTGTGTCATATTGTATTGTGTCATATTGTGTCATACTGTACTGTGTCATATTGTGTCATATTGTATTGTGTCATATTGTGTCATATTGTACTGTGTCATATTGTATCGTGTCATATTGTGTCATATTGTACTGTGTCATATTGTATTGTGTCATATTGTGTCATATTGTATTGTGTCATATTGTGTCATATTGTACTGTGTCATATTGTGTCATACTGTACAGTGTCATACTGTACTGTGTCATATTGTGTCATATTGTGTCATACTGTACTGTGTCATATTGTACTGTGTTATATTGTGTCATATTGTGTCATACTGTACTGTGTCATACTGTACTGTGTCATATTGCGTCATATTGTGTCATACTGTACTGTGTCATATTGTACTGTGTTATATTGTGTCATATTGTGTCATACTGTACTGTGTCATATTGTGTCATATTGTGTCATACTGTACTGTGTCATATTGTACTGTGTTATATTGTGTCATATTGTGTCATACTGTACTGTGTCATACTGTACTGTGTCATATTGTACTGTGTTATATTGTGTCATATTGTGTCATACTGTACTGTGTCATATTGTACTGTGTTATATTGTGTCATATTGTGTCATACTGTACTGTGTCATATTGTGTCATATTGTGTCATACTGTACTGTGTCATATTGTACTGTGTTATATTGTGTCATATTGTGTCATACTGTACTGTGTCATACTGTACTGTGTCATATTGTACTCTGTCATATTGTGTCATATTGTACTGTGTCATATTGTGTCATACTGTACTGTGTCATATTGTGTCATATTGTATTGTGTCATATTGTGTCATACTGTACTGTGTATTATTGTGTCATATTGTGTCATACTGTGTAATACTGTACTGTGTCATATTGTACTGTCATATTGTGTCATATTGTACTGTGTCATACTGTACTGTGTCATATTGTACTGTGTCATATTGTCCTGCGTCATATTGTGTCACAGTGAGAAGTACAAAATACACATCATCATTTGTTTGACTTTTTAGTTTGTCCTATCTGCTAACATGAAGGCAGCAGGCTTCATGAGCTATTCTGCAGTCAGCCACAGGGGGAGAGAGAGAGGACTTCAGGATTATGAAGACATTACATCCTACAAGATTACGGGGACATGACATCTGATCAGGAGAATTATGTGGACATAATGTGATGCAGAGATGATTGATTACAGGTCCATGAGACCCTGCTGGAGATTTTCCAGGGATATGATGTCCTACTGGGACATTACAGATACATGTGGTCCTGCTGTGAGACTTACAGGTGCCTGATATCCTACAGGAGGACAACAGGTGCTGGATGTGAAGGTATTTACGTGTAAATAAGATCCTGCAGGGTTATGTGTACATTTAGTCCTTTCAGAAGGATCATGCTGTTACCACAGAGCTGCACAGGTTCCATCTGTTCCCAGAGTTCCTGAACATCTGAAAGTCTGTTTTCTTCATGATTTATTACAGAAACTGAATCCAAATTGGAGTCAAAGCACCTTGAGTACATGAGAACGAAACATCAGAAATACCTGAAAAAGGTCAGAACTCAACATCCTCCTTTGAGTTCAAACATCCGATCAAAGTTATTTTTGTGTGTTTGATTTTTCCTCCAACTCTCCGTCCCGGTCGACCTTCTCAGCTGTTGGATGGCTGTTCTGGTTTCAGTCGGATGGCCCAGGAGTTGGCGGACACAATGTCTCCCCGCCGGTGGACGCGGCAGGTGTAAACGCCCTCGTTGAACTCGTTGGCTACGATGCGGAGGTCTCGGTCTTTCATGACGATGTAGCCGGGGATGGAGGTCAGGATCTGCTCGCCGTCTTTATACCAGCTGGAGGAAACAGGACAGAAGATATTTTATTACTACCTCACTGAAGTTTCTGAGTATAAAGGTAAAGTCTAAAGACAGACAGTGGATGTGGTTCTGATTGTGTTTCTCTCTGATCCTATTTGGTCTTCAAGCAGAGCTCAGTATTGAGTATTGATCAGCTGACCTGACTTTGGGCGGTGAGCGGGGGTTTTTGGTTCCACAGCGGAAACCCACCACCTTGCCCCGGGGAACCATCTTGATCTTGACATTGGCTGGAGGAGGCGTCGGCGTGGTAACGGCTTCTAGAGGCTCTGGAAGACAGGAAATTAATGTCATACCAGACGCGAACATCAGAGGGAGAATCAGCTTTCTGTTTCTGCAGCAGGGACAGTGAAACCATCTGTCTCTGGAGGACACTCATGTCTCACCATAGCAGAGGTCACAGCGCTGAGGACAGTTCTTTTTCATGAAGGTCTTCCTCCGCTCACAAAATCCGAGCCGAGCCCACGGATCACAGACCCTCTTCTTATCCAGACACCCTGCAATGAACAGGACCGACTGTCAGACTGGCAGAACTCGCTAAAAAGGACGGTCATTGACTCCTGCAAACTCAAACACAAGCACTAGCAGCTATACAGCAATCAGCCCTAACACAGTGAGCACTGAATAACTCTGATTATCTGGTTATCAGGGCTCCTGTCAGTGGGAGGGTATATCAGGGCTCCTGTCAGTGGGGGGGGTATAAGGCAGACAGTGAACAGAGTTGATGTGTTAGAAGCAGGAAAAATGGGCAGCGTGAGGATCTGATCCAACCACATTGTGATGGATGACTGGGTCAGAACATCTCTAAACCTGCAGCTCTAGTGGGGGGTTCCCGTCTGCAGAGGTCAGTACCTATCAAAAGTGCTCCAAGGAAGGAACAGAACCGGAGACAGGGCCATGGGGGGCTGAGGCTCATTAATGCAGGACGGGAGTGAAGGCTGGCCTGTGTGGTCCAATCCAACAGACGAGCTACTGTAGCTCAAACTGCTGAAACAGTTAATGCTGGTTCTGATAGAAAGGGGTCAGAACACACATTGCAGAGCAGTCTGTTGGTCTGGGACTGCAGAACATTCACTGTACTGGTGTTATGGCTGATCAGTGTATGTCATCTAGTCACAGGGGTGACACATGTGCCTCCACCACAATTTCACAACAACAACAACAACAACAACAACAACAGACAGACGTGTTCCAGACTACAGTGTAGGAGTCTGACCAGGTATTGTTTTGTTTGCTGCACAGTGTTCAGCCATCAGACGTTGTCTGAAATGTTGGGCTCTGACAGAACTATGACTCAGTTCCACGAACTGTTCCTGTTTCATCACTGCGCCTGCACGAAGCAGCAAACAGAGCATCTGACAGAAAATATGGAGGCCGGTTAAGTTTTTGTTTCCTCCTCCTATAATGACTGAAATGAACGAGAAGTACAGATACTCCAGGTGTTCTTTTTATAGAAGTTTCGACAGTCGGCACACAGGATGGAACTAGAAAACAAATTCCAACAAATTATTGTCAATAACCAGAATAATGGTCTGTTGTATTTTCTATTTTAAACAGTATGAACACATAAATCATGGGCCATTTTACATCATGTAGGATTCAGTCTTACAGCAGGAGTTATACATTTCTAGCATTGTTCAGTATGAGCTCAGCTTCAGCTATTGAACTCTTGATCATACAGCAGTTTAGGGCTGTCTACTGTGAACTAACCAACGTACTTGTACTGGCTGGATTGTTTCTTGTCATAAAAAGGAAGAAACAGATTCTTGTTACATCCGAGAGATGTACAGAGGTTGAACTGATCAGATATTTACCCTTCAGTGCTCCTCGTGGTAGACTTTGCTGGTCCTGGTGGACCATGTTCACCCTTGTGGACCATGTTCACTATGGCTGGGTATCGTTAGAAATGTTCGATACCAGTACCGATACCAGTACTCTTAACACGATACCGATACCAATTGAGTACTTTATTCCATACTTTTTATCAACTTTAAAAAAAAAAAGCAATGGGTTGCGTAAATGTCACCACTCCTCCCCATTCAAAAGATTTTTACACAAATATATTTTGAAAGTGCTCAAATATTTATTTAATAACTGTACAAACATGTACAACGAAGAATTATAATATATATATATATATATATATCATTATATATTACCTGAAGTTATCGACGGTTTTTCCATGTTAGGGTGGCCATTTCCTTAACATCAAAAAGGAGGACACTTTGCATACACGGGGACACGCAAGCAGATATTTGTATGGTATGATCCGGTGTTAAGTTTAATATGTTTTACACCAGATTACATAAAGGTTCATACACATACCACATAGCTAATAATAATATACAAGATACAGCTCATGACAACGTGCCCTTCCAATTCAGATTACATAGGTCTAATAAACATCATACAGAAACTGTTCTTAATGTTTTTATCTGGATAGATAAAGGTATAGGCTTTGCCTTTACGTATGAGCATTTTCAGAATTTCAGTCCAACAACCAACGTTAGCTAACGTTACGTTCTCTGTTGCTGAGAGCTAGATTGACAGCCTGGTGGTAGCAACTGCGGAGAGCATGTTTTGTGGCAAATCAACACATGGCTCATTTGAATATTAAAATTTGCCATGTGTTGATAAGTCAAGACACGAAAATGTAACCAATGAAATTACTTATTTTGACTTTTGACTATTGAATAAGTTTGTTCCGTTTGTTCCCCCTTTTCCCCGAAATAATCTTGCCGCTTTTGATGCATCTATTTGTACCAGGCGCCACAGGCGGGAATGCTGACCAGCCAACTCTGCCAGACTAAGCGTGCACGCTTTACTGCCATACAAAGCAAAACCATAGAAACAGTAATTTTTTTCTTGATCTGGGTAGTGGGTACAAAAAGAACCGATTGCAGGTATCATTTGACAGGCGCAGTTTTGATACTACTTGGTACCGGGTTGTTTCGGTCGATACCTGAAAGGTATCAAGAACCGATACCCAGCCGTAATGGTCACCCTTGTGGACCTTGTTGGTCCCGATGGACCTACCGTAAAGTCGCTGGATGCCCCAGACGTCATCCTGTGCGATGTTCCTCTGCCCTGTGTACGTGGCGTTGGGATGCATCAGAGCCTGAGGGTCTCTGGAGTGCCACAGACCGAGAGCGTGACCGATCTCATGAGCCGCCACCTGGACCAGGTCATTGAGCCACACCCCTGCAGGTCACATGACAACACCTGTATCAAATACTGCTATCAATACCATCAGTACTATCAATTCTGCCAGTACTACTTTTACTGCAGGACCTTGTTTCCAGCTGAACCTGGACTTGCCGAGGATCCAGAATTCATGGTTGTCAAAGTGGATTTCGCCGCGTGGTGGCAGGAAGGCGTGAGCCAGCTCACCATTCAGCCCGTCGAAACACGGGTGGAGAGGAGACCACCAGCAGTCAGTGTGGTTGAAGGTGTAGAAACCTAACACACCCACACATACACATTAACTTTAAATTGACTTCCTTTATCTTTGCTGGTTTAAACTCCACCTACCAATGGTGATGTCAGTGGTGGCATTGCTGTCGGTAACCTCGGTGAAGGTCAGCGGAGACACATCGCTCCACTTGGTGAAGGCGATGCTGATGGCCTTCCTCGTGTCCTCGACGTTCAGAGTGTTTGGAAACTTTATGATCCTGAGACGGACAGACAGACAGACAGACAGACAGACAGTAATCAGTGGGTTTTGGTGCCCTAAGTGCAGCCCCTCAGGCTCAGGAGTCTGATTGGCAGCCTGTGGAGCTCAGTGGCAGACATCCTGTGAGGAGCAGTTTAGGGTAAAAACACCCTTGGGCCAATCAGAGATCATTCAGCTCAATCAGCTCAATCAGCTTTTATCATCATTTACTGGTTCCCAACCTGAGAGTTGGGACCCCCACTAGGGGCCGCCAAAGCTTTACAGGGGGGCGCGAGGCCTTCTTGATTTTACAGGGTTTAAGAAAACTTTAAAAATATACCCAGTATCTGGTTCAATTCTGTGAAGAAAAGAAAATATAAAGTAAATTGTCTAATAGAACAATGTCCAAGCTTAAGGAACGAGAAAATACTGAAGCTGTGTAATATTTATTAGAAAGATATTCACAGAATTGAGCTTTAGATCAATGTTTCTGATCTCCAGAGTAAAACAACTGTTTATAAAATAAAATCTGATACATTTAGTATTTATTAGAAAACATATTGACACATTTTACTCAGATTTTACTTATAAAAAGTACATTTTCACTAGTTTCAGCCGAATACTCAACAGTTTATAATTAGCTCACTTACTGCTTGCACACATTCATAAATCAGTAATAATAAAAATAAAGCTGAAAGCCCTCACAGTGCTGAGTTTACAGAAAAATAATTATTTTTTACATTTAACAAGGCTTTGCAGTGGTCACTCACTTTACATCATTAGTACTTTTGATACTTTAACTTCTCTGCATTGGCTCCCTGTAAAATGTAGAATTGAATTTAAAATCCTCCTCCTCACCTATAAAGCTCTTCATGGTCAGGCCCCTTCATATCTTAAAGAGCTCATAGTACCCTATTACCCCACTAGAACACTACGTTCTCTGAATGCTGGGCTACTTGTGGTTCCTATAGTCTCTAAAAGTAGAACAGGAGCCAGAGCCTTCAGTTACCAAGCTCCTCTCCTGTGGAACCAGCTTCCATTTGTGGTTCTGGAGGCAGACACCCTCACCACATTCAAGAGTAGGCTTAAGACGTTTCTCTTTGATAAAGCTTATAGTTAGGGCTGGATCAGGTGAGTCCTGAACCATCCCTTAGTTATGCTGCTATAGGCCTAGACTATCGGGGGATTTCCCATGGTGCACTGAGCTCCTCCCTTCCTCTCTCTTTCTGCACTCATTCATGTCCCATTAATGCATGTTACTAACTTCACTTCTTCCCCGGAGTTCTTGTGCTTTCTCGTCTCGCAGGTTCTCATGGATCCTGGTGGAGCCTCCTGCCATGGTCCTGCTAGATTGCCATTGCTAATATCACTGATATTAGTGTTATTATTATTATTATTATTATAGCTACGGTTGCTATTGTTGCTGTTGTCATGTTCATCATCATCAGTCACTACTATTAGTGTAGTTGTTGCTACTGTTGTTGCTGTGCACCTGTCTGTCTGTCTATCTGTCTGTCTCTCTCTCTCTGTCTCTCTCTCTCTCTGTGTCTCTCTCTCTCTCTTTCACCCCAACTGGTCGAGATAGACGACCACCCACCTAGAGCCGGAGGATCTGTCCTAGGTTTCTGCCTTTTAACAGGCAGTTTTTCCTTGCCCTTGTCTCCAAGGTCTTGCTCATGGTGGTACTGTTGGGTCTCTGTAAATAATGTTTTAAAGAGTTCGGTCTAGACCTGCTCTATTTGAAAAGTGTCCTGAGATAACTTCTGTTATGAATTGGCGCAATACAAATAAAATTGAATTGAATTGAATTGTAGTGCAGTAATATCCACTGTACTGCAGTAATATCCACTGTACTGCAGTAATAGTCACTGTACTTCAGTAATATCCACTGTACTGCAGTAATATCCACTGTACTGCAGTAATAGTCACTGTACTGCAGTAATAGTCACTGTAGTGCAGTAATATCCACTGTTTTGTACTGTACTGCAGTAATAGTCACTGTACTGCAGTAATAGTCACTGTAGTGCAGTAATATCCACTGTACTGCTGTAATAGTCACTGTAGTGCAGTAATAGTCACTGTACTGCAGTAATATCCACTGTACTGCAGTAATAGTCACTGTACTGCAGTAATAGTCACTGTACTGCAGTAATAGTCTAGTGCAGTAATAGTCACTGTACTGCAGTAATAGTCACTGTACTGCAGTAATATCCACTGTACTGCAGTAATAGTCACTGTAGTGCAGTAATAGTCACTGTACTGCAGTAATATCCACTGTACTGCAGTAATAGTCACTGTAGTGCAGTAATAGTCACTGTAGTGCAGTAATATCCACTGTACTGCAGTAATATCCACTGTACTGCAGTAATAGTCACTGTAGTGCAGTAATAGTCACTGTACTGCAGTAATAGTCACTGTACTGCAGTAATAGTCACTGTACTGCAGTAATAGTCACTGTACTGCAGTAATAGTCACTGTAGTGCAGTAATAGTCACTGTAGTGCAGTAATAGTCACTGTACTGCAGTAATATCCACTGTACTGCAGTAATAGTCACTGTAGTGCAGTAATATCCACTGTACTGCAGTAATATCCACGTACTGCAGTAATAGTCACTGTAGTGCAGTAATAGTCACTGTAGTGCAGTAATAGTCACTGTACTGCAGTAATAGTCACTGTACTGCAGTAATAGTCACTGTACTGCAGTAATAGTCACTGTACTGCAGTAATAGTCACTGTACTGCAGTAATAGTCACTGTAGTGCAGTAATAGTCACTGTACTGCAGTAATATCCACTGTACTGCAGTAATAGTCACTGTACTGCAGTAATAGTCACTGTACTGCAGTAATATCCACTGTACTGCAGTAATAGTCACTGTAGTGCAGTAATAGTCACTGTACTGCAGTAATAGTCACTGTACTGCAGTAATAGTCACTGTAGTGCAGTAATAGTCACTGTAGTGCAGTAATAGTCACTGTACTGCAGTAATATCCACTGTACTGCAGTAATAGTCACTGTACTGCAGTAATAGTCACTGTAGTGCAGTAATAGTCACTGTAGTGCAGTAATAGTCACTGTACTGCAGTAATAGTCACTGTACTGCAGTAATATCCACTGTACTGCAGTAATAGTCACTGTACTGCAGTAATAGTCACTGTAGTGCAGTAATATCCACTGTACTGCAGTAATAGTCACTGTAGTGCAGTAATATCCACTGTACTGCAGTAATAGTCACTGTACTGCAGTAATATTCACTGTACTGCAGTAATAGTCACTGTACTGCAGTAATAGTCACTGTAGTGCAGTACACCGAAGGCTACCTGTACGTGATGTTGTGGTGAGTCCACTTATGTCCCACTGGGTTGATGGCATAGCGTTTGTTTCTTGTCCCTCCGAACGTCTCCGTCACTCTACTGCTGCCACAAGTCTGAAACATACAACAACCACAACCAATCAGCAGCCTCCAAGTCAGTGATGTCACTTCCTCTAATGGCCACTAGAGGCTTGCATTCACTTTGACCAAACTATAAGTGAATGCACTATACTGCATGCTGCATACTACACGCTGCATACTGCGCTGGTCAGTATGTAGTAGGTGGTTTTCAATACAGTCTATAATTCTGATTCACAGAAGCAGAGGCTGATTGGTATTGTAGTATTTAGACAGCATGTAAATGGAGGAGAACACTGACCTCCTTGATTGGATTTGATAGAAGAAGAAATAATAATAACTGAACAGAGTAAAGTTTCCACAGGAAGGGTTCTGGTTGAAACGTGGCAGCAGACTGATTGACTGCAGATGTGGAACTCCTCCTCCTCCTCCTCAGATATCTGTCACCCACATGTGAACCTCCTCTGTTCCTCCAACAGGCACTGAACCAGATCTACTCACTTCCTGTTCTGTCTCTAAACAATAACAACAGTAAACAAGCCGAGACCTTCAAAATAAAGGTCCTGTTCTCAAGGTAAAAATACTACAGAGAAAGTTCTGTAGGTCCAACAGCTCTATATGTACTCTATATAGAGTTGATTCAATCAATAATCTATAATCAATGAACAGTGTATAAACTGTAGAGCTATGTTCTATATGTAGTTGATTCAATCAATAATCTATAATCAATGAACAGTGTATAAACTCTAGAGCTATGTTCTATATGGAGCTGATTCAATCAATAATCAATAATCACACAACCCCTTATTCTTTTGGTGGTTTTTTTTTTATCCTTTTTAGGTGTTATATATTTTCAGTGCTGTTTTAAACGTTTAACTGTTTGATAAAAATAATCTGTTTTCTTCGCGACTAGTTTTTTTCTTAGCATTAAGCTATTTTCTACACCTTAAGTTGTGTTTATATGGAGATGGTAAATGGTAAATAGTAAATGAACCTGTACTTGTATAGTTTCCTTTCTAGTCTTCCAACCACTCAAAGCGCTTTTACACTACAGACACATTCATACACATGTGGACAGATGTGGTAAGGCAGGCGTTTAGGCTGGGGTGTAACCACTCATTGTTTAAAAAAAAAAGGTCGGAAGACATTTCTTTTTAGCAAAGCTTTTGGTCCCCTTTAGATGGTTTGTGTGTGTGTGTGTGTGTGTGTGTGTTTTTTCTTTGAGATCTTTTGATGAAAAGCGCATTATAAATAAAATGTATTATTATTATTATTATTATTGTTTAAGGGGAACATGTTCATTACTGCTGGATCCTGATTGCTACCTGAGTTTAAAGTCAGAAAGAAAGACAGCTAATATTTCACAGACTGTTCCTTTATAACATTAATACATTAATATTGTTCTTATGTTCTAAATGTGCACATTTCATCAATATCATTATTGGGTTCAGCAGAAACACTGAGGTCCAAAACTGAGCATCAAAGCATCAAATAGTTCATAGTTATTAATTAATAATTATTTCATTCATTTCATTATTGATTGTTATTATTATTACCCCAGAGGTGCAGACCTCCGAGACCTCAGTGGTGGGTTCGGTGGCGGTCCTCGATAAGAAGTAAGGGTACTCATGTGGACAAACATCTGTACAGTACTTTACAGTTTATTGTAATAATTATAATTTATCTTCAAAAATCATTAATTTGATCCAGTCGTCAGTTAAGTTTATTGTTTCATCCTTATTTTTACCGGCTGATCTCAGGACCAAATATTTTATATTTTTATACATTTTACTGTTAATTTATTATTAATTTACTGTTAATTTATTATTAATTTACTGTTAATTTATTGTTATTTTACGGTTAGTTTATTATTAATTTACTGTTAATTTATTATTAATTTACTGTTAATTTATTGTTATTTTACTGTTAGTTTATTATTAATTTACTGTTCATTTATTGTTATTTTACGGTTAGTTTATTATTAATTTACTGTTAGTTTATTATTAATTTACTGTTCATTTATTGTTATTTTACGGTTAGTTTATTATTAATTTACTGTTAATTTATTATTAATTTACTGTTAATTTATTGTTATTTTACTGTTAGTTTATTATTAATTTACTGTTCATTTATTGTTATTTTACGGTTAGTTTATTATTAATTTACTGTTAATTTATTATTAATTTACTGTTAATTTATTGTTATTTTACTGTTAGTTTATTATTAATTTACTGTTAATTTATTGTTATTTTACGGTTAGTTTATTATTAATTTACTGTTAGTTTATTATTAATTTACTGTTCATTTATTGTTATTTTACTGTTAGTTTATTATTAATTTACTGTTAGTTTATTATTAATTTACTGTTCATTTATTGTTATTTTACTGTTAGTTTATTATTAATTTACTGTTCATTTATTGTTATTTTACTGTTTGTAAACATTCAGACATAGATAATAAAATGAAACTATTAAATAATAAAATAATGTATTATAATTGTAATAATAATAATGATGATTAGATGTTTGAGGTTTGTATTATTGATTAATCTCTCTCTTTTATTTCAGTGTGAGGGAAAGAACTGAAGAGGTTTCTAAAATAAAGATAATCATTGTGATCGATGAACTATTGATTGATTATCTTTCAGTGAGTGTAAATCTGAAACTGGAGTCACTTTTTATAATCAGCTTCATTGATAAACTCACTGACCTTCATCATCATCATCATCATCATCATCATCATCACCAGCAGCAGCAAAGGGGGGTCCATGATGAGAGCTGGACTTTACACAGTCCGACACATCGCCAGTCAATAAGTAATCAATCAATAATCAATGAATAATCAATCAGTCAGAGGAAACGTCTCCACGCGCAGGTTAACGCAGTCCCTCCAGGTTTCCTCGGACCCCCGTTGGTCCCGGCACAGACCCGAGCCAGAGACGCGTAAAACCAGCACAGAGTCCGGATCCGAGCCGCCTCCAGTCTCAGGATGAGGAGACCCGTGTAGATCTGGTCCCGGACCCGGTCCGTCCTGCTCGGCTCTGGAACAAAGTGAGGGGAACTTCCCGGACTGTGCGCTCGCTACTGCAGTGGGGCTGTCCGGAGGGGCGGGGTCAGGTGTGTGTGTGTGTGTGTGTGTGTGTGTGTGTGTGTGAGCGGTGTCCATTTACACCGAGAGTCTGAATGTGGATTTTAACCCTTTTGATCCGGATCAGACTCCGGTTCTGTGGTTCTCTCGGTGCAGACCTTATTTTAAACATGAAGCAAAAGTAAGATCACAGTAACCCAGACCAGGTTCTTGTTGTTGGCTCTGGGGCCCCTTGGGGTCCGGGGACACAGGTAGGGCCACCCAGAGGTGTTTTCCCAGCAGCGGTCCAGACGTGCAGCATTCTGTCCTCAGAACATCTGTCCAAACAGAGACAGCTGGAACTGATCCCAGAGCTGCTGCTGGTGGTTCTGTATGTTAATCTGTAAATAAACAACAAATAATAAACAGAGTGATTACAAAACCAGGGGGCGGAGCCAGACGCTGTAAACATTCAGGGCTTAGCTCAAAGCTGTGGGGGGTCCAGGGGCATACTCAGTACTGGGGGGGGCTTCACCATCCTGTTTCATCATTAACATTGAATAACATTTTGGAGAAATGCTGCGTATGAAAGTAACTTTAATTCATTTACCTGTAAAGTTACCTTAATAATAAATACTTCAGTTACTTTTACTCAAACCAAATATTTGTTTTGAGTAAATAAACTTAAACAGTTTAAGACAATTGGCTTAACTTACAGTGTGGAGTTACAGTTACCTTTCATTTTTTTATGAATGATACAAAAAAAAGCAAAACTGTTTACAATTTTCACTTTTTGCCAAAAAACAACAAAACAATTTCTGGCCAAAGTTGCCATGAAAGTTTAAGACGTAGCGATCCCAAAACCAGCCCCGAGTGCCCCCCCAGCTACTGGTCCCAGAGCCGGTCCCAGTGCGAGTCCCAGTGCCGGTCCCAGAGCTGAACACGAGGGACTGAAGCCAGAGGAGGAGCAGCTGGGAGGATTTATTCGTTGAACATAAATAAGGATACACTACGGCTGAAAGCTGCACAGAAACTGACTGAACACAGTGAGAATAATCAGACAATCAAAACGGGAGGGAAAAGACAGGAAATGAAGGAAAAGAGGAGGAGAATTACAAAATAAAACAGGAAACAACCCAAACCCAAAATCACGGCAGGGACTGATTGAAGTAAAAATTTAATGTAAAATGTCCAAACTGTATGGAATAACTTTTATCCGGATTCATCCAAAAATAAATAGATGGACTAACAGACGCTGCCATCTTTCCCCATTCGGAACCAGAGTCCGGTCAGTATTGATCGGGGTCGGTGCCGCAGTATTTAGGTCCCACCCAGACAATGAACAGACACAATTATAAGTAGTAGAAAATGAATCCAGTGAAACTGGTTTGTTTATACGAAAGATTCATCTGGACCCAAATAATCCAGGACCTGAGACTGTGGCGCCTGAGAGGGGTTTCTTCATCAGGTTTGTGCAATGTGTGACGTACTGTTTACTGACTCAATGTGCAAGATAAAACCCAACAGAAGTGCTTTAATGTTTAATATTTAGAGTGGGTTTAAGAGTCAGTGGGGGTCCTGGTCTTGTTGATGAGAGATCATGAGACCAGCAGATGGAAAAAGCTGTTAATCCTGCTCCTGGTGGCTTTACAACCGTTCCCTCCGAAAGTACACATATTGACTTCCTTTGCTGTTGTTTTGAAAAACTGAATCTTCTTTGCAGCTTCATGTGTTGACTCTTTGTCCTTCTGGCGGGCAGAATTCCACCAGTCCACTCCTCTAACTTACAGAGACTCAGCTGCTTGTCATCATCATCACTCCGGTACAAGACTCACTGCAATCTAAAGTGCTTTTCTACCAAAACAGGTTTTGGAGGTTTTTGGGCCAAAGTACAAGAACTTCATTTTTTTTCTGAGTTTAACATCAGAAAATTGTAGCTCATCCAGGATTTTATGTCCTTTTGTAATTTAGATATTTGATTAATTTCATCGGGCTTGATTGATAGATATAACTGCATATCATCTGCATAGCAATGAAAGTTAATGAAGTGATTCATAATAATGTTGCCTAAAGGGAGCATATATTAAGTGAATAGTATTGGTCCAAGTACAGAACCTGTGGAACTCCATGACTAACTGTAGTATTTATTGAAGATTCATCGTTAACATGTACAAACTGCGAACGATCTGATAAATATGACTTAAACCAGCTTAGTGCGGTTCCTTTAATGCCAGTTTGATGCTCAAGTCTCTGTAAAAGAATATTATGGTCAATGGTGTCAAATGCAGCACTAAGATCTAATAATACAAGTACAGAGACAAGTCCATTGTCTGAAGCAGTCAGAAGGTCATTATTAACTTTAACCAGAGCTGTCTCTGTGCTATGATGAACTCTAAATCCTGACTGAAAATCCTCAAATAAACTATTGTTATGTAGAAAGTCACACAGCTGTTTCATATTCTATTGATTAGTATCAATAACCAGCTAATAAACTGATCAGTGAACCAAACAGCGAACTCAATAACTGCAAGTTTGATTGCTGTTTGGTTTCTGATGCAGGACGAGGCTGTTTATTAAACAATAACATACACCTTAAAAAGAAATTTCATTTCATTCAATAAAATTACAAAAATATCCTGTGAATTTACATCTAATATAAAATAACATGAAAAATCTGCAACTAAATAATAATAAAATTACTGATTATTTAAAGAAAATTAACTTTTTTCACATAAAAAGATTAAAATACTTTTTGTAAATCTATAATTTGTTCACAGATTTACCGTTTATTTCATAGATTCAACTGTTTAGTTCAAGTCTAATACATTTGTAAAATTAGTAAAGTAAATTTACATTAATTGTTTATTAACTGACAGATATGTTGTATAATGATGGAAGTAGAATAAATGTTGTTTATCAGTGTATAAGCATTGGTAAACTGTCCAAATACAGTTGTTATCAGTGTAAACAGCAATAATTACTGTAATCTCACAGATAATGACTTTTATTACACTTCTATAACTTTTAACATTCACATTAAAATAATAACAATCCAATAATAACAGCACTCTGCTGTAAATGTAAATCTGATTATTGTATTATAGCAGAGTTCACCTGGATTTATAGATCATTGTTTACACTGTAAATATCTTTAATTAAACATAAAAAAGACAAAAAAGATTTTATGTAAAATTGAAAAACTATTATATAAAATTACAGTGTTTTTACAGTTATTTTCTGTTATTATTTTTGGGGGGTTAGGGAATATTAAATATTGAATATTAAAGTTGTTTTACAGTGTTTGACAGTGAGGGAAGATTAATGTTACATTATGGATGGACACAAACATTAATTTACATTTTCTATAGATTGAGTTATAATCTGAGCCTCTTCCACATTACAGTCACTTCACTCACTGCTGATAGAAACATATTGATTAGTGCGGCTTTAATTTGTGCACTAGTCAAGCTGCTGATGAACATTCACAGATCATTCAAACACACTCATTACAGTGGCACATTTCTCATTGTCTGCATTGTTGTGTTGTTTATCAGTCGGCCTGCAGCTCTTGGCCGCGGTCACCTTCGCTCTGACAAACTGCCTGCGAGGCATCTTTCACAGGAAGTCATCATATGGTGCATGTTAAGCAGCTCGTTAGAGCCGCATTGTGTGCTGAATGAGGTTTGAATGTTGGCAGCTGAGCGGCCTGGCAGACTCCCATCATGCACTGCAACAATGCTCTGACCTCACTCTGATTCTCTGATCGATACCTCGACAGAAACCTGAGATGAGAACTCATCTGAGAACCCAGAACCCAGAATCCAGGAGGCAGTTTGTTCAACAGTCAGGAGGATTTACTGATTCTTTTTATTTTCCTATATATTATATATACTATAATATATAATATATAATATATAATGTATGAAGTCTGCTTGTTGATTCATATTTATTCACTTTTATCTTTTATACACAAACACAGTGTGCAGTTTCTACCACCAGGGCGGCGCTCACATCCAAACAATCAGAAAAGAGGAAGTTTGAGGTGGTGAAGTAGCGTGGGATCACGCCACATCGAATCGCACGGATGTCGCATCCTGTTGAAGTGAATCGAGTCGCCTGCGCAGGCGTCACCGTGCCGTCTGACAGATCTAACAGAAGGACAGACTTTTGTTGGTGAGCCACGCTGCGCTAACGTTACCCTCTTGTGGCGAGACCCAGGCGTTGACCTTTGACCTTTCAGGAGAGTGGAGACTCTGTCAGCAGCAAAGCTTCAGTCAACAAATTCATAGCTTTAGAATCTGACCATCGACCGGTTGGTGGTACATTAGATCATCCAGGAGTTGTAACGGTAAAACCGATTTCTTTACACCCCTGATATTCAGCATCCTGAGGAGGAGTATCCCATCATGCTTCAGTGTTTCTGGGCCCGGGGGGCCTCCTGGCAGCCGTCCAGCCGACCTTGAGGCCGCAGCGTTGGACTACCGGCGGCAAGTCGCCCAGAAAGACGAGCAGAGAGACGGAGGAGGAGACAGACTTTCAGCTGGAGGAAGAAGGACGAGGATTTAATTACACCTCTGTCCATTCATCTGTCCATCACACACACACACACACACACACACACACACACACACACTGAATACACACACACACACAGAATACACACACACACTGAATACACACACACACACTGAATACACACACACACACACACACACACACACACACTGAATACACACACACACACACACACACACACACACACACACACTGAATACACACATACACACTGAATACACACACACACACACACTGAATACACACACACACACACACACACACACACACACACAGAATACACACACACACAGAATAAACACACACACACAGAGAATCACACACACACACTGAATACACACACACACACACAAGAATACACACACACACACACTGAATACACACACACACACACACACTGAACACACACACACACACACACACACTGAATACACACACACACACACACTGAATCACACACACACACACACACTGAATACACACACACACACTGAATACACACACACACACTGAATACACACACACACACACTGAATACACACACACACACACACTGAATACACACACACACACACTGAATACACACACACACACACACTGAATACACAAACACACACACTGAATACACACACACTCAGCAGCAGGTTCCCACACTATCTGTCGTCATGGCAACCAGCAGCAACCAGAATGTTTCAGTTTTACTGCAGTTTCATCCATTTACAGTCAGAAACACAAAAAGTTTCAGATTTCACCTAGAGCCGGAGGATCTGTCCGAGGTCTCTGCCTCTTAAAGGCAGTGTTTCCTTGCCCTTGTCTCCAAGGTCTTGCTCATGGTGGAACTGTTGGGTCTCTGTAATTAATGTTATAAAGAGTTCGGTCTAGACCTGAGATAACTTCTGTTATACAAATAAAACTGAATTGAATTTTGATTATTTAAAATATTTTTTGTCAGTAGGACGAGTTTATTGTTCAACCCCGAACCCCAACAGTAGACCCCGAACCCCAACAGTCGACCCCGAACCCCAACAGTCGACCCCGAACCCCGGCAGTCGACCCCGAACCCCAACAGTAGACCCCGAACCCCAACAGTCGACCCCGAACCCCGGCAGTCGACCCCGAACCCCGGCAGTCGACCCCGAACCCCAGCAGTAGACCCCAAACCCCAACAGTAGACCCCAAACCCCAACAGTCGACCCCGAACCCCGGCAGTCGACCCCGAACCCCGGCAGTCGACCCCGAACCCCGGCAGTCGACCCCGAACCCCAGCAGTAGACCCCAAACCCCAACAGTCGACCCCGAACCCCGGCAGTTGACCCCGAACCCCGGCAGTCGACCCCGAACCCCAACAGTCAACCCCGAACCCCGGCAGTCGACCCCGAACCCCAACAGTCGACCCCGAATAATAATAATAATAATATACAGTTCACTGGATCAATAAAGTTTCAATGAATCAGGAATCAACATGAACAGTCAGAGTCAGTCGGACTGATTTTATTGAGAAAACAGAACATTTGGCAAAATGACTTCAGACAGACAGACAGAGGTCTGACTGATATATATTGATCTGCTCACACACACACACACACACACACACACACACACACACACAAAGGACTCCATATACATCATTATGTCTGATCAGTTTCTGATAACCGACACATCTGGATACAAAAACTATAAAAAATAATAAAAAATAATAGAAACATATTTTCAGGAGAGATGAATTCAGAATAAATGTTTAAACTGAGCGAGAGTGAAGCATGCTGGGTAATAGACTGGCTATGAGACAGGAGGACTCTCAGACCTTTTTTATGTTCATATTGGAGGAAACTATGAAGGAAGATCAGAACTGGTTCCATGCAGAGCTGCTGAACCGTCTCTGAAGAGGAAGTCTGTACCCGGACTGAGAGCGTAGCAGCTTATTCTGTTAGCATTTAACAGGCTGCTGTTCACATACACACATTATAATCAATACATTAATATCAGAAACCATCAACAAGTAAATGGTTAGCCGTTGCAGCTCCATTTCCGTGTTGGTTCTGTTGGTTTAAACTTCCTGTAACACTTTAAAGACCTTCAGAATCACAGTGTTACAGTAACAGCTCTAATGAGAGACACACTCCAGGTGCATCATGGGAAATGTAGGATCCAGTGGTTCTGGATTTAATCTGTCTCTACAACAACAACAACAACAACAACAACAACAACAAGCACTGTATGGAGACAGTGAATCTGCAGTCACCCTGCAGGAGGCGGTCTCTGTGGGTCCACAGGTGTTCTCTGGAATGTGATTGGCTGACCTCCGTCCTCACGCAGAGCTCAGCAGACTCAAACTCAAAGTCACCATGAAAACAAACACACAGATCTGTAAATAACAACAATAATGTCAGGGGCCATCCGTCTTTCCCATCAGCCCCGCTGGCGGCGGCGGCGATGGTGGGGTCAGCAGCGCGTCTCGTAGATGCCGCTGCGGCCGATGTAACGAACCCATTTAATGACATCGTGATCGCTGTAGTTCAGCTTCGGCTCAAAGACCTTCAGGTACCGAACCTTCAGACCAGACGGAGCAAACGGAACCTGGAAGAGGAGGACAGTTAGTGGACTGTACACTGTAGGAGGAGCAGAGGACTGTACACTGTAGGAGGAGCAGAGGACTGTACACTGTAGGAGGAGCGGTGGACTGTACACTGTAGGAGGAGCTGCAGTGGACTGTACACTGTAGGAGGAGCGGCAGTGGACTGTACACTGTAGGAGGAGCGGTGGACTGTACACTGTAGGAGGAGCGGCAGTGGACTGTACACTGTAGGAGGAGCAGAGGACTGTACACTGTAGGAGGAGCTGCAGTGGACTGTACACTGTAGGAGGGGGGGAGCAGAGGACTGTACACTGTAGGAGGAGCGGCAGTGGACTGTACACTGTAGGAGGAGCAGAGGACTGTACACTGTAGGAGGAGCAGAGGACTGTACACTGTAGGAGGAGCTGCAGTGGACTGTACACTGTAGGAGGAGCGGTGGACTGTACACTGTAGGAGGAGCAGTACACTGTAGGAGGAGCAGTGGACTGTACACTGTAGGAGGAGCAGTGGACTGTACACTGTAGGAGGAGCGGTGGACTGTACACTGTAGGAGGAGCAGAGGACTGTACACTGTAGGAGGAGCGGTACACTGTAGGAGGAGCGGTGGACTGTACACTGTAGGAGGAGCAGAGGACTGTACACTGTAGGAGGAGCAGAGGACTGTACAATGTAGGAGGAGCGGTGGACTGTACACTGTAGGAGGAGCGGTGGACTGTACACTGTAGGAGGAGCGGTCAGTGATTTGGGGTCAGAAGTAATCCATCCTCAATTGAAATGAAAGCGGCTGATTGACATCTGAACCCTGATTGGAGGAATAAAGAATGATCAATAATGAATGATCAATAATTAATGAGCTATCAGACTGACCTCAAAGTTCATGGAGATCGGAGGTCGAGCCCACTTCTTCTTGTCGTTGGTCGGCAGCAGTTCAATCTCTGCACTGATCTGAGACTCCTTCATCCCCGCCATCCGCTTAATCCTGGAACAGTGAGTCACATATTAATTATAAACTCTGTAGACCTGTACAGAGACTGGTTCACAGTCCAGGTCTCTGAGGCTGCAGGTCTCAGAGACTGCAGGTCTCTGAGACCTGCAGGTCTCAGGAGGCTGCAGGTCTCTGGAGGCTGCAGGTCTCAGAGGCTGCAGGTCTCTGAGGCTGCAGGTCTCAGAGGCTGCAGGTCTCTGAGGCTGCAGGTCTCTGGAGGCTGCAGGTCTCTGGAGGCTGCAGGTCTCAGAGGCTGCAGGTCTCTGAGGCTGCAGGTCTCTGGAGGCTGCAGGTCTCTGGAGGCTGCAGGTCTCTGAGGCTGCAGGTCTCTGGAGGCTGCAGGTCTCAGAGGCTGCAGGTCTCTGGAGGCTGCAGGTCTCAGAGGCTGCAGGTCTCTGAGGCTGCAGGTCTCAGAGGCTGCAGGTCTCTGAGGCTGCAGGTCTCTGGAGGCTGCAGGTCTCTGGAGGCTGCAGGTCTCTGAGGCTGCAGGTCTCTGGAGGCTGCAGGTCTCAGAGGCTGCAGGTCTCTGGAGGCTGCAGGTCTCTGAGGCTGCAGGTCTCTGAGGCTGCAGGTCTCAGAGGCTGCAGGTCTCTGAGGCTGCAGGTCTCGGAGGCTGCAGGTCTCTGGAGGCTGCAGGTCTCTGAGGCTGCAGGTCTCGGAGGCTGCAGGTCTCAGAGGCTGCAGGTCTCTGGAGGCTGCAGGTCTCAGAGGCTGCAGGTCTCTGATCCACCTGCAATGATGATGTCAGCTCAGATCAGCTGATTGATGAATAGAGCTCTGCTGTAGTCTGTCTCACTGCGTCCTCACACTGCACACCGGGGACGCAATGTGGAGGAGGAGCAGGAGGAGGAGCAGGAGCAGGAGGAGCAGGAGCAGGAGGAGGAGCAGGAGGAGCAGGAGCAGGAGGAGCAGGAGGAGGAGCAGGAGGAGCAGGAGGAGGAGCAGGAGCAGGGTGTCAGCACTGATCCAGAGCTGATTAATGGTCTCGTCAGCAGATGATGTAATCGCTCAGAGGTGGAACTTTTGATCAATGACAAACACTGTCAGCACTGGAACACCCCTTCAAAATAAAGTTCTGTTTGTACAGTAATCAATGAGTTAGCTAGCCATGCTGTCAGCTATCTAATGAATCTTGGCTCCGTGTGGATATCAGCTGAAGATTGATTGACGGGTTAATGTCCTGATATGATTGGTTGAAATCAGTTAGTTCATGCTGACTTCCTGTCGATCACCCAGCCTCATTGAGCCGTACTGTTGGATGTAATGATCACTTACTTCCAGACGATGGCGTTCTCGCTGGCTTTGTACTTTGCTTTTCCCTTCATACAGATGAGCTGAACTCCACTGGTGTTGAGGGGAGTCGGGATCCGAACCTACGCAACAGATATTATTGTGTTATTTTAAATGGGTTAGCTGTTAAACAAGTATTGATCAGATCTGATTACTGATCAGAGATACGTTTTCTACAATCAGACTCAGAATATTCAGTTATTATATGTCCGAGGCTGCTGATCACAGATCAATAATAATATATGCTGTGTTTATTCTTTATGTTCTCGTTGGCGCCCCCTGGTGGAGGCCCCGACCCTCGTGTTGGGAACCACTGATATAATGTGATGTGTTCAGGTTCCACAGCACTGGCATGAGTCAGCAGGTATTCAGAAGATTGATGACTTGGCTCAAAGTGAACGATCAATAAATCCATAAACCCCCTCTGTGTCCTCTGCCTGACCAGACTACTGCAGGGGGAAAATGCCCTCTAATACTCTGGGTCCTCTCTGCGTTACCTGTACAGGTGTGTGGACCTTACCTCGATCTTCTGAGCCAGCAGCGACGACTTGAAGTTGGACTTGATGACGACTTTGACCTCCAGCTTGGTGCGGCCGACCTCTCGGACCAGAGGGATGACTCTGAAGGGCAGGATGATGTCTTTGGTGGTGCGGTACCTGCAGACAGACAGACAGACAGACAGACAGGCTGTCTCACTCTGCGTGCTGCTGTCTGATGGACTGCGTGCTGTCAGTGAGTGACCTCTGACCTCATGAGCTCGTAGTCTCCGTCCGGAGGGATGAAGCTGATGCTGCGCTCGGAGTCAAACTTACTGAGACGGACGCACTGATGGAAGGTGCAGTCGTCGATCGCTATTGACTGTTTACCACTGAGGAGGGGGAGAGGGAGAGGAGGAGGGAGAGGAGGGAGAGGAGGAGGGAGAGGAAGAGGGAGAGGAGGGAGAGGAGGAGGGAGAGGAAGAGGGAGAGGGAGAGGAGGAGGAGAAGGAGAGGGAGAGGAGGAGGGAGAGGAGGGAGAGGAGGGAGAGGAGGAGGGAGAGGAGGGAGAGGAGGAGGGAGGGGAGAGGAGGAGGGAGAGGGAGAGGAGGAGGGAGAAGAGGAGGGAGAGGAGGAGGGAGAGGAGGGAGAGGAGGAGGGAGGGAGAGGAGGAGGGAGAGGGAGAGGAGGAGGGAGAAGAGGAGGGAGAGGAGGAGGGAGGGAGAGGGAGAGGAGGAGGAGAGGGAGAGGGAGAGGAGGATGGAGAGGAGGGAGAGGAGGAGGGAGGGAGGGAGAGTAGGGAGAGGAGGAGGGAGAGAGGGAGAGGGAGAGGAAGGACAGTTGGTGATTGTTGGAAGGATAACTGGTGCTGAGTTTTGTTTCTGTCCACTCTGAATGAAGTTCAGATGTTTTTGTCTCTGGAGTTTGGTGGAGAAACATTCCGGCTGTTTGTGGTGGATCAATAATCAATAATCAAAAGGAAACATCCAAATTCAATGGAAAGTCGATACTGGAGAGAATATACCAGAAGAAGAAGGAAGTGGCATGCTTAAAGGGGTTTTAGCCAACTATAGACCGATTTCTAACCTCCCCTTCCTCTCTAAGATTCTGGAGAAAGTAGTCGCCAAAGAGTTGTGTGACTTTCTACATAACAATAGTTTATTTTGAGGATTTTCAGTCAGGATTTAGAGTTCATCATAGCACAGAGACAGCTCTGGTTAAAGTTAATAATGACCTTCTGACTGCTTCTGACAATGGACTTGTCTCTGTACTTGTATTATTAGATCTTAGTGCTGCATTTGACACCATTGACCATGATATTCTTTTACAGAGACTTGAGCATCAAATTGGCATTAAAGGAACCTGCACCTGTCTGTCTGTCTGTCTGTCTGTCTCTCGCTCTCTCTCTCTCTGCCTCTCTCTCTCTCTCTCACCCCAACTGGTCGAGACAGACGACCACCCACCTAGAGCCGGAGGATCTGTCCTAGGTTTCTGCCTTTTAACAGGCAGTGTTTCCTTGCCCTTGTCGCCAAGTGCTTGCTCATGGTGGTACTGTTGGGTCTCTGTAATTAATGTTAAAGAGTTTGGTCTAGACCTGCTCTATTTGAAAAGTGTCTTGAGATAACTTCTGTTATGAATTGGCGCTATACAAATAAAATTGAATTGAATTGAAGGCCCAGCAAAATACAATTAATGCAAGATTGACATTGCTCCAATATAAATGGCTCATCAGTCCAGTAAAGCTGAATACAATGGATCCTAATATTCCAGATACTTGTTGTAAGTTCCACTGTGTTTGGGAATGCTCAAAAGTACAACTATTTTGGCAGCGTGTGATGGAGGCCATTTCCCAGATGGTGGGTAAGAATGTTCCCCTGCTAGTGAAACTTTGTACCCTGGGTATATACCCCGAACATCACCAGCTCTACACAATCAGTGTTGATTGACTTTGGGCTTCTTCAAGTTAGAAGACTGATCGCTCTTTTCTGGAACAATATCCAACAACACAATGTAAAGTTATATTATATATTGTTAGAGGGAAAGAAAAGAGTTTGTTAAAGTGTGGAAACCTTTTGGGAATTTTTGGAGTTGCACTAACTTGATTTGTTTTTATTTACTTGTTTTATTTGTACAGTTATTTAATTTGTTTGTCATCTTTTGATTGTTTTGTTGTATAGTACACTTATACATTAGTTTTTATTGCTGTGGTTATTGTTATTTGTATGTTTTCTATATGTGAAAAACTTAATAAAACATTGTTTTAAAAAATGTAAAATAAAATAATAATAATAATCAATAATCAATAATCAGTAATCAGAAGCTGTCACACATTGACTGTTTACCATCCACTGTTTAGATCTTGGTGCTTTTTAACTCTAGATTTGAACCGGATGAAGGATTTTAGTCATCGGACGTCTGGATCTTAAGTTATCAGAGAAACAAGCTGAGCTAACGTTAGCAGCAGCTCGGCTCGCAGCCCCTCCGGGACGTCCTTTGTCTGTCCAACAGCGTGGGAGAAGCAGTGATTGTTAAGGTGGAACTGCTTTATTCAGTGTGTTTAAGGTGGAACTGCTTTATTCAGCGTGTTTAAGGTGGAACTGCTTTATTCAGCGTGTTTAAGGTGGAACTGCTTTATTCAGCGTGTTTAAGGTGGAACTGCTTTATTCAGTGTGTTTAAGGTGGAACTGCTTTATTCAGTGATTGTTAAGGTGGAACTGCTTTATTTAGTGTGTTAAGGTGGAACTGCTTTATTCAGTGTGTTTAAGGTGGAACTGCTTTATTCAGTGATTGTTAAGGTGGAACTGCTTTATTCAGTGTGTTTAAGGTGGAACTGCTTTATTCAGTGATTGTTAAGGTGGAACTGCTTTATTCAGTGATTGTTAAGGTGGAACTGCTTTATTCAGTGTGTTTAGTGGTTTGAACCCATAAAGAGCTTTCAGGAAGTGACCATATATGGAGCTCTGTCAGTGTGACCTCTGACCTCTTGCCTCCGTCCTCAGAGCTTCCTCCTTTCCCCTGCTTGTCGATGACGATCTTGTCGTTCATCCCGAACTTACACTCTGGCATCCCGCTCAGGTAACTCTTCATCACCACCCGACCTGAGACATGAGCACTGAGCACCTGACCTACACACACACACACACACACACACACACACACACACACACACACACACACACACACACACACACACACACACAGACACAGACACACACACACACACAGACACAGACACACACACACACACACACACACACACACACACACAGACACACACAGACACAGACAGACACACACACACACACACAGACACACACACACACACACACACACACACACAGACACAGACACACACAGACACAGACAGACACACACACACACACACACACACACACACACACACACACACACACACAGAGGTTGTTAGAGGTGTGATGTCGTCCTCTGGTGGCTCAGTGAGCTACACTTCCTCACTAACAACAACAACGATGATGTCATTATGTACTATAATAATATAATACAGTATTATTAGAGCATATTATTAGAGTATTATTAGAGTATTAATAGAGTATTATTATTAGGTTTTTTGAGTATTATTAGAGCATATTATTAGAGTATTATTAGAGTATTAATAGAGTATTATTATTAGAGTATATTATTAGAGTATTAATAGAGTATATTATTAGAGTATATTATTAGAGTATCATTAGAGTATTAATAGAGTATATTATTAGAGTATATTATTAGAGTATTATTAGAGTATTAATAGAGTATATTATTAGAGTATTATTAGAGTATTATTATTAGAGTATATTATTAGAGTATTAATAGAGTATATTATTAGAGTATATTATTAGAGTATTAATAGAGTATATTATTAGAGTATTATTAGAGTATTAATAGAGCATATTATTAGAGTATTATTAGAGTATCATTAGAGTATTAATAGAGTATTATTAGAGTATTAGAGTATATTATTAGAGTATTATTAGAGTATATTATTAGAGTATTAATAGAGTATTATTATTAGAGTATATTATTAGAGTATTAATAGAGTATATTATTAGAGTATCATTAGAGTATTAATAGAGTATATTATTAGAGTATTAATAGAGTATATTATTAGAGTATATTATTAGAGTATTAATAGAGTATATTATTAGAGTATTAATAGAGCATATTATTAGAGTATCATTAGAGTATTAATAGAGTATATTATTAGAGTATTATTAGAGTATATTATTAGAGTATTAATAGAGTATTATTAGAGTATATTATTAGAGTATTAATAGAGTATATTATTAGAGTATCTCCAGCTACCAGTCCACACTCCATATTGGGGTCTGTGGGACTTGAGCCGGCGACCGTCCGGTTCCCAAGCCAAGTCCCTACACGCTGAGCTACAGGGTTGGCTAGCCTCCCTAATAGATTATTATTAGAGTATTATTAGAGTATATTATTAGAGTATTAATAGAGAACACAGAGTATTAATAGAGTATTAATAGAGTATTATTAGGGACCGAGCCAGCGACCGCTGGAGGTCCCTATTGTATTTGCTATGTTTCTTCTTCCCTATTATTATTATTTTTAGCACTTTTGATTGCGTTTTTTCCCCCCTGAACATATACGAAAAGTCAATTTTATTTGGCAAAGTTGTCAGGCCTTGTGAAAATTTTGATATTCTATGTGTCGCTTTCGGGTCAGCCACTAGGTGGCGCTACTATCATGAAAAGTGCGTTTAGGCTAATAACTCCCGCATCGTTTGTCACACATTCAAAAAACTTATATCCATGCGTTCGGTGAATAGAGCTGAATCTCCCCATATAGGCCACGCCCACTTCCGCCTGGAATTGTTTTCCAGCAGAGCGCGAAATGTCCATGAACTACTTTTTCATGTTCCTCCTATGTGCTTTGTCCAATTCGCACAAAAATTTTCACGTAGCATCTGAGGACCCTCATAATAAAAAAGTAATTCAAACTATTTTGATATTTCAAAAAATAAGCACGTTATAAAATTAGCACTTCCTGTAAATTTTTTGTCAACAAAGGAAGCGGACAATTTCTCCACATTGGTATGTCCGATTGACACCAAGCTTGGGTCCATAGTTCCTCATGTCTTCCTTAAGCACCGTGCCCAATTTCAGGCCATCGCCACAAGGTGGCGGTCTTTAAAATGAAGAAGTTTATATCTCTACAACGGTGTGTGTGATTAATATGAAACTTGGTACGATGCTTCCCCATGGCTCCCTGAGGCTCGCTAAAAAATGTGACAACAATCCGCCACAAGGTGGCGCTCTGGTAATGGTAAATGGACCTGTACTTGTATAGCGCCTTTCTAGTCTTCCGACCACTCAAAGCGCTTTTACACTACGTGCCACATTCACCCTTTCACACACATTCACACAGTGATGGCAAAGTCCATCGAACAGAAACTAACATTCATACACATTCACACACCGATGCACGGCATCGGGAGCAATTTGGGGTTCAGTATCTTGCTCAAGGATACTTCGACATGTAGCACCAGGAGCCGGGGATCAAACCCACAACCTTCCGATTTAGGAATGACCCGCTCTGCCTCTGAGTCACAGCCGCCTGCCTCTGGTGGCATGATAAATCACTGTGCGGAGACCGTAATAGTTATGAATATGAAATTCACAGGGTACGTGTAGAGTAGTGCCTGAAGCTCACATACCAAAAATCGTGTTTGTCGTGTGTGTAGCGCCCCCTACAGGATAAAAAAACAGCAGCCCCGGCGTCACGTTTCACCGATATGTACGAAACTCGGTAGGCACGTGTAACATGCCGGGACGTACAAAAAAGCCTCTTGGACCCATACCCCAAATCCCACAGGAAGTCGGCCATTTTGATTTTCATTTTCACTCTCGGCAAACTTTTCGCGTTGTATTTGCACAAACTCCTCCTAGGGAATTTATCAGATCTACTTAAAAATTGGTCAGTCCAGTCAAAAAATGGTGCTGATTAAAAGTTGTGCTATTTGTGCATGTACGTTGAAGGGCGTGTCTGTGGCGTGCCGTCAAAGTTGGCCATTTTGAATTCTGTGGTCATACAAACTAGATGAAAAGTTGAGCTGTGACTGTACATTAAACCGCGTGCCAGTGACAACTCGTCCATTTCAGCAGATTCGCCATAAAACAGTGCTCATAACTTCAGTGTGCAATCTCCAATAAACTTCATATATTCTGTAACAGTCTCGCCCTGAACACGTCCTCATAACTTCAGCGTACGTGGTCCAATCTCAATGAATCTCAATTAATAGCGTATTAATAGAGTATTATTAGAGTATATTATTAGAGTATTAATAGAGTATTATTAGAGTATATTATTACCTTGTGGGGACATGAGCAGGTTGACGCTCTCTAAAACGTCCAGAAACAGTTCGTTCCGTCTGTATTTGATTCCCTCTCTCCTCCAACCGATCTGACCTGTCACCTGACTGGTGATCTGAGACTGCTCCTCCTTGGTCTGGGGGGTTGGGGGGGGGGCACAGGGGTACAGGGGTACGGGGGTGGGGGGGGCAGGGAGAGCACAGGTGTACAGGGGTACAGGGGTACAGGGGAGGTACAGGGATGCAGGGGACACAGGGGGTACGGGGGGGGGACAGGGGGGGAACAGGGGGGGGTTATCAGACATGTTGTGTGTTGACTTTATGTAACTGTGTGAAATGAGTCTGTTTCCAGCTGCTATTAATGTGTGTGTGTTCCACTGTAGGGCCCCACTGCAGACAGACAGGCATTAATGTCAGAGACACAGACAGGGTGCGTCCAGCTCTCACTGTGGACAGAACAATGACCAATCCGTGTCTCGCTCACTAACTCTTAAATTGAGTGATTTTTGAATGGAGTCTGGTTGTGCTCAATAGTTCCACAGCAGCTGGAAACAGACTCACAGTGTGTCGGACCGATGTGGACTCACGTGGTGCTGCAGGAGGATCGAGGAGAGCAGGAGGCCGACAGAACACAGACAGGAAACAGTTAGTCTTACGCTTCCTGTAGCTGTTTCACAATAAAAGCCCAGCACTTTACTGTGTAATGAGCTCCGGTCGTACCTGACTCTTGATGCCCTGCTGAGTGATGAAGGTCTTCAGAGCTCCGGTCTCCGAATTCTGAGGGTACCCGAAGTCCAGAATCTCTGCAGGACACAGAGACTGTTACAGTACACAGACAGACAGGCAGAGAGAGAGACAGGCAGACAGATACAGACAGAGAGAGGGAGAGAGAAAGAGAGAGAGAGACAGGCAGGCAGGCAGACAGACAGGCAGACAGACGACTCCCGTCAGCGCTGTATTTTCTTTAGGCTTTGATTTTCTCGTCCAACGTTTACAAAAATCAAAACCTAAAAAAACCACAGAGCGGCGGCGGCTTCAGGAGGCGGAGTCACGGCACTTCCTGTGGGAGTGATGTCATTTCCTGTCCAGCGTTTACCGTCGAGCAGCTCGTAGATGAGCACGAAGTTGTTCTTGACGTTCTCCTCGCTGATCTTGCCGAAGTACGCCGACATGACGTCGCACATCTTGTAGAGGAACTCGAACACCATGGTGGCGTTGACGTTCTGCTTGGTGACCGCCGCCAACCAGATGTTGGAGCGTTTGACGTGGAAGAAACTCGTCCGGGCGATGTTGGTGACCGGAGAGCGAACCTGCTGCCGGGCGTGGATAACGTTGACCCGGAACGCATCCACGGCATTTCTCCTGGACAGAGAGACGATTTATCTTTATTGATCATTGATCAGTATACACTGTATCTGTATGGATTATTGATCAGTACACACTGTATCTGTATGGATGATATTGATCAGTATACACTGTATCTGTATGGATGATATTGATCAGTATACACTGTATCTGTATGGATGATATTGATCAGTATACACTGTATCTGCATGGATATATTGATCAGTATACACTGTATCTTTATGGATGATATTGATCAGTATACACTGTATCTGCATGGATTATTGATCAGTATACACTGTATCTTTATGGATGATATTGATCAGTATACACTGTATCTGCATGGATTATTGATCAGTATACACTGTATCTGTATGGATGATATTGATCAGTACACACTGTATCTGTATGGATTATTGATCAGTATACACTGTATCTTTATGGATGATATTGATCAGTATACACTGTATCTTTATGGATGATATTGATCAGTATACACTGTATCTTTATGGATGATATTGATCAGTATACACTGTATCTTTATAGATGATATTGATCAGTATACACTGTATCTTTATGGATGATATTGATCAGCATACACTGTATCTTTATGGATGATATTGATCCTGTATTGACAGTCAGACTGTGGACATATGACGGCCTTTAGCTCGTGTTTCTAGAGTTACGTGTTGTTACGAACACGTTAGGAATTGTTAAAATGTGATATTTCTTAAAGGGAGTTTGGTGCAGGGAGCTTTTAGTTGGATTCAAACTGCTGATATGGATCATTGTTAACGTTTAGTCTCCACTACAGAAACACTAGCTGACTGCTGAAGGCTGATCAGGTTGTTTGACGCTATTAGATTGATTGATTCTTTAATAATGGGAGTATTGATCACTGATCAGGCTGATTATCGACGCTCTGTGTGCCTGTTTTTAAGTCATTTTCCTTATTCAAGCTGAGGACAGGTAGACAGTCAGTGAGAGTCTCTCAGTGTCTCACAGTGACAGCCATGTTATCAGCCCACACTGAGATGGCCTCATCTCTCTGTTAGCGCCACAGGGCTCGGCACTACACTGCTGTTGCCTAGCAACAGGCTCCCAGAGCCAGAGAGAGGCTGCAGCACAGATCACTGCAGGGTGGACGAGAGGAAGCATTCAGAGCGTCTGAGGAGGGTTTCACTGCCGGGAGATGAATCTAAACCTCATTTAGAGAACAGAGACGATGAGAGACCGACTGTACGGGACAATCACTGTAGTGTCCTCTGCAGGACTCTGCAGGACTCTGGAGGACTCTGGAGGACTCTGCAGGACTCTGCAGGACTACTCTGGAGGACTCTGGAGGACTCTGCAGGACTACTCTGGAGGACTCTGGAGGACTCTGCAGGACTCTGCAGGACTCTGCAGGACTACTCTGGAGGACTCTGGAGGACTCTGCAGGACTCTGCAGGACTACTCTGGAGGACTCTGCAGGACTCTGCAGGACTACTCTGGAGGACTCTGGAGGACTCTGCAGGACTCTGCAGGACTCTGGAGGACTCTGCAGGACTACTCTGGAGGACTCTGGAGGACTCTGCAGGACTCTGCAGGACTCTGCAGGACTCTGGAGGACTCTGGAGGACCCTGCAGGACTACTCTGCAGGACTCTGCAGGACTCTGGAGGACTCTGCAGGACTACTCTGGAGGACTCTGGAGGACTCTGCAGGACTCTGCAGGACTCTGGAGGACTCTGGAGGACTACTCTGGAGGACTCTGGAGGACTCTGGAGGACTACACATAGTATTTCTGTGATGTCTATATCTAACTAGTTAGATAACGGGTAATGCGAATGTCTTTAAGAAATAATCAGTTTATGTTAGCTAGCATTGTGCTAATATTAGCACAGAGTAGGTACAGTGAGTCAGGATTTCACAGGTTAAAGGTTAAAGGTTAAAGGTAACATCTCTATAATCTGCTGATCAACCATTATATGGTCCTGTCCTGAACGCATCCTGACTGTACCTGAACGCATCCTGACTGTACCTGAACGCATCCTCACTGTACCTGAACGCATCCTGACTGTACCTGAACGCATCCTGACTGTACCTTAACGCATCATCGCTGTACCTGAACGCATCCACACTGTACCTGAACGCATCCTGACTGTACCTGAACGCATCCTGACTGTACCTGAACGCATCCTGACTGTACCTGAACGCATCCTGACTGTACCTGAACGCATCCTGACTGTACCTGAACGCATCCTGACTGTACCTGAACGCATCCTCGCTGTACCTGACTGTACCTGAACGCATCCACACTGTACCTGAACGCATCATCGCTGTACCTGAACGCATCCTGACTGTACCTGAACGCATCCTCGCTGTACCTGAACGCATCCTCGCTGTACCTGAACGCATCCTGACTGTACCTGAACGCATCCTGACTGTACCTGAACGCATCATCGCTGTACCTGAACGCATCCTGACTGTACCTGAACGCATCCTGACTGTACCTGAACGCATCCTGACTGTACCTGAACGCATCCTGACTGTACCTTAACGCATCATCGCTGTACCTGAACGCATCCTGACTGTACCTGAACGCATCCTGACTGTACCTGAACGCATCCTGACTGTACCTGAACGCATCCTCGCTGTACCTGACTGTACCTGACTGTACCTGAACGCATCCTCACTGTACCTGAACACTTGGGGGGGGGACCTGCGGGACTCACCCGATGTCATCGCGGTACACCCTGGAGATCAATACCTCCCCCTTGTGGTTGTAGATGAAGAGTCCTCCGATCATGGCCGACGCCCGTCAGTCAGTCACAGCTGCTCATAACGAAGAGTCACTGTGGGGAGAGGAAGAGGAGGAGGAAGAGTATCAGTAGAATTAATATATAATACTTAGCTGCTAGTTAGCATGATAGCTTAGCTGCTGCTGCGCTTTTACATATTGAACGTACTGAAAGAGAAACGCTTAAGAACACATTCAGAACTCCATTTACAAATCCGACGTTTTAGTGTTTTCATATTTTAAATAATGAGCAGGTTGTTGTGTTAGCTGTGTTAGTGTTGTATTGGTGCTTCCAATACAAACATGAATGATTCTGGTAGGAAGTGAGCATTGAAACCCCAAATCTAATGTATAATCTAATGTATAATATAATGTATAATCTAATGTATAATCTAATGTATAATCTAATGTATAATCTAATGTATAATCTAATGTATAATCTAATGTATAATCTAATGTATAATCTAATGTATAATCTAATGTATAATCTAATGTATAATCTAATGTATAATCTAATGTATAATATAATGTATAATCTAATGTATAATCTAATGTATAATATAATGTATAATCTAATGTATAATATAATGTATAATCTAATGTATAATCTAATGTATAATCTAATGTATAATGTATAATCTAATGTATAATGTATAATCTAATGTATAATCTAATGTATAATCTAATGTATAATGTATAATCTAATGTATATAATCTAATGTATAATCTAATGTATAATATAATGTATAATGTATAATCTAATGTATAATATAATGTATAATGTATAATCTAATGTATAATCTAATGTATAATATAATGTATAATCTAATGTATAATGTCTAATCTAATGTATAATATAATGTATAATCTAATGTATAATGTATAATATAATGTATAATATAATGTATAATGTATAATATAATGTATAATATAATGTATAATCTAATGTATAAGGTATAATCTAATGTATAATCTAATGTATAATGTATAATCTAATGTATAATGTATAATCTAATGTATAATATAATGTATAATCTAATGTATAATGTATAATCTAATGTATAATCTAATGTATAATATAATGTATAATCTAATGTATAATCTAATGTATAATATAATGTATAATCTAATGTATAATGTATAATCTAATGTATAATGTATAATCTAATGTATAATCTAATGTATAATATAATGTATAATATAATGTATAGTCTAATGTATAATGTATAATCTAATGTATAATGTATAATCTAATGTATAATATAATGTATAATCTAATGTATAATGTATAATCTAATGTATAATGTATAATCTAATGTATAATCTAATGTATAATATAATGTATAATATAATGTATAATCTAATGTATAATGTATAATCTAATGTATAATGTATAATCTAATGTATAATATAATGTATAATCTAATGTATAATCTAATGTATAATATAATGTATTTGTATCCAGTTATAACAGCAGCAGTAACTTCCTGTTTACATACCTAAGATTCTTTTTGGGGCTTTTATTTTGTAATATGTAACGCGGTAACGTTATCTATCGGTTAATCGGTAAGTTATTGGCTGAAAAGTCTCAGTAATATTGAACACAGCTGCTGTTTGTATGCGCCGAATTGAACGGAGGTCCATATTGATTGATGACAGATACTGAGTCACAACGTCCACACAGTGCTCCGGTATCGATCAGCAATAAATCGTTAAATATCGGGTTTTTTAAAGGATGTTCGGAGACGACGAGCAGATACGTTACCGCAGACGGTGACGAGTCCGCCGCGGTCACCGCTGCTGCAGTGCAGACAGACAGACAGACAGATAGACCGACAGAGAGACAGACAGGCAGACATACAGACAGACAGACGGTGGTGCTGTCTTCCCGCCACATTCTCACCCGCTCCGCAGAGATTCCCGCCGTTGTGTCTCCGGCCCTGCCGTCACTCCATCCGGACGTTTGACCGTGAGCAGCGGACTCTCCCTCCGTCTCCTCCAAGATGTCGGCGGCAGAGCGACTGTCAGCTGACGGCAGCGCTGCGGCCGCGTCCCGTTCAGAGCGACCTCCCTCCTCCTCCGTCCTCCTCCGTCCTCCTCTTAGACTCTGACCCGCAGTTAAAGCCTCCACTGAGGCTGTATGAGCTGGCTTACCGCCGGTGTGTCGGTGAGCCTGAGACACCGGGAGAAAATCCGGCGGCAGCTCCCGCCCTCTGCCCGCTCACTGTGACCGAGGCAGCGGGCGAGCGGACTGGGACGCGGCCCTCCCTCCTCCGTGCGTCGGATAAAGGAAGCAGAGAGCGGAGCATGAATCATGATCATTAATGCACAGCAGGCCTCATCCACAGACCAGAACCCGGTCCAGGGCCCTCGACAGGCCTGAATGTGGTCTGGGTGGCACAGAGCAGGTCCGACCCTAAATCCAGGACCCGAAAACTCTCTGTGTGTAAATGTGCACCTCTAAAGGGTCCAGATTAACCCTTAAAGGGTCCAGATTAACCCACTAGAGGGTCCAGATTAACCCTTAAAGGGTCCAGATTAACCCACTAGAGGGTCCAGATTAACCCTTAAAGGGTCCATATTAACCCACTAGAGGGTCCAGATTAACCCTTAAAGGGTCCAGATTAACCCACTAGAGGGTCCAGATTAACCCTTAGAGGGTCCAGATTAACCCACTAGAGGGTCCAGATTAATCCACTAAAGGGTCCAGATTAACCCTTAGAGGGTCCAGATTAACCCACTAGAGGGTCCAGATTAACCCACTAAAGGGTCCAGATTAACCCTTAGAGGGTCCAGATTAACCCACTAAAGGGTCCAGATTAACCCTTTAGAGGATCCAGATTAACCCTTTAGAGGGTCCAGATTAACCCACTAAAGGGTCCAGATTAACCCTTAAAGGGTCCAGATTAACCCTTAGAGGGTCCAGATTAACCCACTAGAGGGTCCAGATTAACCCACTAAAGGGTCCAGATTAACCCACTAAAGGGTCCAGATTAACCCTTTAGAGGATCCAGATTAACCCTTTAGAGGGTCCAGATTAACCCACTAGAGGGTCCAGATTAACTCTTAAAGGGTCCATATTAACCCTAGAGGGTTCAGATTAACCCTTAGAGGATCCAGATTAACCCACTAAAGGGTCCAGATAAACCCTTTAGAGGGTCCAGATTAACCCACTAGAGGGTCCAGATTAACCCTAGAAGGTCCAGATTAACCCTTAAAGGGTCCAGATTAACCCTAGAAGGTCCAGATTAACCCTTAAAGGGTCCAGATTAACCCTAGAGGGTTCAGATTAACCCTTTACAGTGTTTTCTTTGTATTTTCTATTTATTTGGGACAATCAATCAAAGAGCCCAAAACTTTCTCTTCACTTAAATGAAGATAAAGATAAAAGTAGAAAAATCACATTTTCATCAAATATAAATCAAATAATATACGTGTGATTGCTGCTGATGGTGAGCATCGGAAGTTATTGAACACTGTATTGATCGATAGATATCGGTTCAAAAATCATACAGAAGAAGAAAAATATGAATGAAATAAAGACTAAAGATAACAATGTCAAACTATTGGACTAAAACTAATGAAATAAAGTTAATATTAATAATATCGTCATTGTTATTATTATATGAATCAAATAGACAGTACTTACCTCTGCCCTGTAGCTACAGCACTGACTCTGCCCTGTATCTGCAGCACTGACTGCCCTGTATCTACAGCACTGACTCTGCCCTGTATCTACAGCACTGACTCTGCCCTGTATCTGCAGCACTGACTGCCCTGTATCTACAGCACTGACTCTGCCCTGTATCTACAGCACTGACTCCGTTCTGTATCTGTCCTGAGCTCTGTGCCTTAGTATTATTCTCAAATAGAATCTTTATTTACTGTCTTTAAAAAACAATTACTGTCAAATTATTTGACTTCACTAAAACTTAAAATAAAGTTTTATATATTCAAAGTTTTAATAATATTAACTCATATTATTACTATTATATATATTATATATTCAAATAGACAGTACAGATCTCTGACCTATATCACAATATAATATTGTTACTGTTGTTTGAACTAACTGAGCAGACCTCCGTCCTGTAGCTGTAAATTAGTATTATTGTAGAGTTATTGTTGGTAGATTTGTATAAAATGTTACACACGTGTCAACAACATTCCTAAACTTCAGTTCAGTTCAGCAGTGAAGAATTATGGCTGTTAAGTAAGTCTTGTTCAGCTTCATCTGATGTTTTATTGCGTGAATGAGTGTGGCCTATAAATCATCCAACCCAGGTGGCGCTATTGTTCTGAATGAAATCACACATAAAAATATTAATAAACATTTATAGTCACTGTGGTTAGAAACCTGATATCTGGTTCATATAAGAATGTCTGTATGGACTTGTTGAGATACAGATATTGATATAGATCAGCTCTGTAGGACCTACAGCTGATAAGCGACCACATGGTGGCACTATTAAACATATCTCGTGGGACACCTTCATAACGTTCTCAAACGGAATATTTCAAATTAAAGTGCACAAACTGTTATGAGACATAAATATCTTATCTGATAAAAGTTAATAAGTCTAAGGAATATTGATCGGTACGTGGATCTGTAACCTCGATATTCATATTTTCAAATTAAAAGTATCTGTTATTTGACTGGTTTCAGCTTTTGTAAATAAAACAAAAACAAATCAACACAAAAGGTTTGTTGGACATTTTTTAATGTTAAAACTCTTCAGAGAGTGAAGACGGACAGCAGAGGAAAATAAAACTATGTTCATAAATAAAAACATCAGACTGATATCTCATATATTAATATGATTAAAGGTGCGCACAATATGATTGCAGGTGAAGACAATGGAAAGATAAACACTGAGGTACAGAACTGAGACCTGAATCCTGCTCACAAACTGGTCCATAAAGAGCCAGTAAACAAATATTCCACCTCGTTTCCTTTTCAGTGTGAGAACCCCGAAGCCTGAACGGGGTGGCAGCAGGCTCAGCAAGGTCCAGGTCTGCTTCCAGTTGGCCAGAACACCTCTAAAGAGAAACCTCCAAACCACATGAACAGACTCCTTTCAACATGTAGCAGTCCTCCTCCAACCTCCTTCCTGATGGCAATCTCCTTCTTTTATCACTAAAGTTCCTAACCAGAGATCCACTGTTAGACCGAGAGCTTCGGTAGTCCAGTAAAAGACCTACAAAGACGATTGTAATCAATCAACCAATCAAAGTCATCAACAGAGGGAGCTTCACAACGACCTGCAGAATATGACACTTTGGTTGGTTCCCAACGATAAACTGATATGTTTCTGGGTATAGATCTCCCAGTAAACCAATAAAGACCCGAGGTACTCCAACTGTTCTGAGTATCTGAATGTAGTCCTGGAGACGACCCAGCCTGAGGACTCTGCTGGAAGATGGTCCAAAACAAACACCGCGTTCAGCATCAACGAGGTTCTACTGAAGTTAAACGTCCCTGAATGAGTTCAAATGCTTAAACACAAAAGTTTATTTTGTTCATTCGGTTCTTTCTGTGGAGTATAAAAACTTAAAGATGGTTCTTTGATCAGCGTCGGCAGATTGTACAAATTTCTTCTTTTTAAAACCAGGACAGGTTGTGACATCATCATCACATGACATCCACAAAGAAATCACTGGGGTTTCCCATGGCCAGGCAGAAGGACTGCCGCGAAGCAGAAAGGTTGCCAGGCTGAGCTTGAGATGGCGATGGCGCCGGCGGGAGGTCCTTAGAGTCTTTGTTACCATGGAGACCAGAGAAGGAGGTTGGGAGTTGACGGGTGCCGGCGGCAGCGGTGGGGGAGTCTGCCACCAGCTGTTTGTCAGGTGAAGTGCTCACTCCCTCTTTGGTGGGCTCTGATCCGCTCCCTCCTCCTCCTCCTCCTTCCTTCAGACGGTCACTACAGTTTGATCCGCTGCTACGACTTCCTGTGAACACAACCCACAAAAAACCTTAATCCTCTGTTGTGTGTCTGTTTAGTAAAAACTAATCCATGCATTTGTTACTTCAAGGCTGGATTACTGCAACTCTTTATTATCAGGTTGCCCCAATAAGTCCATTAAAACGCTCCAATTAATTCAGAACGCTGCAGCACGAGTACTGACAGGAACTAGAAAAAGAGATCACATCTCTCCTGTACTAGCTACTCTGCATTGGCTCCCTATAAAATGTAGAATTGAATTTAAAATACTCCTCCTCACCTATAAAGCTCTTCATGGTCAGGCCCCTTCATATCTTAAAGAGCTCATAGTACCCTATTACCCCACTAGAACACTACGTTCTCTGAATGCTGGGCTACTTGTGGTTCCTATAGTCTCTAAAAGTAGAACAGGAGCCAGAGCCTTCAGTTACCAAGCTCCTCTCCTGTGGAACCAGCTTCCAGTTGTGGTTCGGGAGGCAGACACCCTCACCACTTTCAAGAGTAGGCTTAAGACATTCCTCTTTGATAAAGCTTATAGTTAGGGCTGGATCAGGTGAGTCCTGAACCATCCCTTAGTTATGCTGCTATAGGCCTAGACTATCGGGGGGATTTCCCATGGTGCACTGAGCTCCTCTCTTCCTCTCTCTTTCTGCACTCATTCATGTCCCTTTAATGCATGTTACTAACTCCACTTCTTCCCCGGAGTTCTTGTGCTTTCTCGTCTCGCAGGTTCTCATGGATCCTGGTGGAGCCTCCTGCCATGGTCCTGCTTGACTGCCATTGCCAATACTGTTGTTGCTGTGCACCTGTCTGTCTGTCTGTCGCTCTCTCTCTCTCTCTCTCTCTCTCTCTCTCTCTCTCTCTCACCCCAACTGGTCGAGACAGACGACCACCCACCTAGAGCCGGAGGATCTGTCCTAGGTTTCTGCCTTTTAACAGGCAGTTTTTCCTTGCCCTTGTCGCCAAGTGCTTGCTCATGGTGGTACTGTTGGGTCTCTGTAATTAATGTTAAAGAGTTCGGTCTAGACCTGCTCTATTTGAAAAGTGTCCTGAGATAACTTCTGTTATGAATTGGCGCTATACAAATAAAATTGAATTGAATTGAATTGAATTGAATTGTACCGGACTCAGGGGGGAGGGTCCATTATCCTGATTGTTGGAAACTAACAGAGACAGTTTTAGTTTTATTTTGTTTGGTCAACATGTACAGATCTCTTACCTCCACTGTGTTGACTTCCTCCTCCTCCTCCTCCTCCCCCCCAGGCTGGCAGCTGAGGGAGGGGGTGAGGTGAGCTGTAGGGGTGAGGGACGGGGTACTGGTAGGGAAAGGCTGGGGCCCACTGGGGACCTGAAGCCGGAGCCTGGGGGTCACCATCTGATCCTCCTCCACGACTGGAGGCCTCTCCATGATCCAGCAGAGACATTAGACCCAGATCTGACAGACAGAATCACAGACATACTGTTGGTCTGAGGGGACCAGGACTAGATCCTGGTGTCCTGGTGTTTCTTACCAAAATCTGCTCCAGTTTCCTGCCAGAAATCACTGGATGTATTAACATTAGTGACATTAAGAGAATATACTGGCATTTAGGTATGTTCAGGAATAAACTGCTAATTATATTAATTATATTTTATAGTGCTGTCAGTTTAACGTGTTATTAACAGCGTTAACGCAAACCCATTTTAACAGCGTCAATTTTTTTATCGCGAGGTTAACGCCTAGCACACTTTATAGTTTTTTCACATGCTGTTGCAACAACTAGTAACGTTAGAAAAACTACAACACCCACCGGATCTAGCTAGACCGGAAACAAAACAACAGGCACGCCGCACACACTTGTTTAAGAGTAGTAGAGGTTACGTTTTGAGTGGATGGCGAGCGCGAGACGCCGAAATGGATGAATTCCTTGTTATCTGAAAATGTCAACAGGCTTGTCTGTTTGAGTAACTGGCTCAAAGCAAAGAAGTAGTAGGCTTTCCTTTTATTGGTAACCGTTACTGTTCATTCTTTCTGAAATAAGAGGCTGGGTTGAGCCTCTGGTGAATAAACTGCTATGTTCAAAGCAAACTTGAGAAAAGTATTAAGCCATGGTTTAACTGCACTATAGGCTGAGTCCTAGTTTACCTTACATGTGCACTTTGTAATTTTATTTTGTATCGCCCTGTTTTGATCCCTTAGAAAGGGCTGTTGAAGGGGCTGTTTGTGTGACAAAGTATTTTTTCACCCTTTTATTGATGGACAGTGTTACATTGTGTGAGAGATTATTTGCTCCAAGTGAGAATGTTAGTGTGAAATTGTTTTCAATAAAAACAACATTTGCACAAAGCAAGCCGATCCACTTTTCCATGTTGATAAGAGCATTAAAATGAGAAAAAAATAATGGGACAAAAAGAAATCAAGGGACATTTAGAATAGATAAAAATGTTCGATTAATTGCGAGTTAACTATGACATTAATGCGATTAATCGCGATTAAATATTTTAATCGTTTGACAGCACTAATATTTAATTATCATTAATAGAAGCTGTTGACTGGACTCACCTCCACAGAGGTCCCCGAACACGTAGTAGCACTGTTCGGAGAAGGTCACCTTGTTGACGGTGTGTTTGATGTAACCGGCCTTCAGCAGGTTTCCTGCATACTTGCGAGCTTCGCGGCGGTCAGTGAAACCTTCCACGTTACGGTGGAGCCAGTCCACCACGTCTGAACCTGGACAGGCCGGACACAGACTGAAGTTAGACTTTGTAGGACTGTGAATATGACGCAGCCCTGGATGGAACAACAGCTGCTGAGGATTCTGGGTACTGTAGTATTTTGTTCTCTGAGAGAATCCCTTCTGACTGCTAACGTCAAACAACCGACACCCAGAGTCAAAGCTAACATTACTGCAAAGCTTTTGGAATAATTTGTGATATTGTTAACTGAGTTAGTATGTTAGTTGGATAATGTTAGCTTCCCCAGCTAATGTGATACTAACTAATATATTCTGATTTTAGCCGATACAAAGCTAATGGTTGCTTTCTGCTAGCTAAGAGCGACGCGAGGCAGGGGCATCCAACCGAGCATCTTACCGATGAAGGCGTTGGGGATGGTGATCTTCAGCCACATCCGGTCCCGAACCTCCAGGCCCGACTCAGGATTGGCCATCGCCTTGACAACAGCCGTCATGTCGCTGTGGATGGTGAGATGGTTTTCTTCGTGCACGCCTGAAGAACATCACATTACTGTTGGAGTCATGGAGAAACAGGCGATGGATGGATGCTGCAGTGGCTGATGGGAGTCTTACCGTAGTGTGGGAGTAAACTCCCCGTCATGGCGGCGGTGTGTGACACCCAGGCAGCGGGGTCGATCGGACGGACCGGCTCACCTTCACAAAAAACGGATGATGGAGAACAACGTTAGATGATAGGATGTTATATAAAGGATGTAATAGATTACATTCTGTCTATCTAGGATTAAAGCTAGTTAGCTAGTGCTAACATTAGCTAACTGAAGATGTAACTATAGGCCGATATGTCTCTTTTATCTTTTAACCTTTCAACTTAGATTAGCCTAGCATAGCATATCTAAGCACAGGAAACGAGGATGTTGACCGAGGCTAGCTCAACTGCTATTGGAGCACAGAGCAAAAGGGGCGGGGCTTAGGAAGGGTTAAGGTTAGTACGAGAGTGGTAATAGATTATTTTAATGAGTAACAAGATGTGTGTCGTTGACTCACTCCTCGGCAGTGTGAAGCAGCCTCGTGGGTTTGGATCCCAACACTTTGCCACCGTTAACGTCACCGGACTGCAGACAGACAGGCAGACAGACAGATAGTATTAGTTAGTATTATTTGTTCATTAAACCAACAATCCCACAAAGGCCGGGGGTATAAGGGTCAAGATTTAAGGGTTCAGAAGGAAAGTGAAAGATAGACCAGAGTAGAGGAACTGGAGACCTTTCTGGACTTCTGCAGTAGTAATAGTAGTATTATTATCAGTATTATTAGTATTATTAGTAGTATTATTATCAGTATTATTAGTATTATTAGTATTATTAGTAGTATTATTATCAGTATTATTAGTATTATTAGTAGTATTATTATCAGTATTATTAGTATTATTAGTAGTATTATTATCAGTATTATTAGTATTATTAGTATTATTAGTAGTATTATTATCAGTATTATTAGTATTATTAGTAGTATTATTATCAGTATTATTAGTATTATTATTAGTATTATTATTAGTATTATTATCAGTATTATTAGTATTATTAGTAGTATTATTATCAATATTATTAGTATCATTAGTATTATTAGTAGTATTATTATCAGTATTATTAGTATTATTAGTAGTATTATTATCAGTATTATTAGTATTATTATTAGTATTATTAGTAGTATTATTAGTATTATTATTAGTATTATTATCAGTATTATTAGTATAATTAGTAGTATTATTAGTAGTATTATTATCAGTATTATTAGTATTATTAGTAGTATTATTATCAGTATTATTAGAATTATTATTAGTATTATTAGTAGTATTATTATCAATATTATTAGTATTATTAGTATTATTAGTAGTATTATTAGTATTATTATCAGTATTATTAGTATTATTATTAGTATTATTAGTAGTATTATTATCAATATTATTAGTATTATTAGTAGTATTATCAGTATTATTAGTATTATTATTAGTATTATCATCAGTATTATTATCAGTATTATTAGTATTATTAGTAGTATTATTAGTAGTATTATTATCAGTATTATTAGTATTATTAGTAGTATTAGTAGTATTATTAGTAGTATTATTAGTAGTTTTAGTAGTATTATTATCAGTATTATTAGTATTATTATTAGTATTAGAAGTATTATTATTAGTATTATTAGTAGTATTAGTAGTATTATTATCAGTATTATTATCAGTATTATTAGTATTATTAGTAGTATTAGTAGTATTAGTAGTATTATTATCAGTATTATTAGTATTTGCAGTATTTGCAGTATGAGATGTCTGACCCTGGTTTGTGGACGACCTCTCTGAGGACTCTGACAGCGTCGTCGTTACTCATGTTCTCAAAGTTGATGTCGTTCACCTGAAAGACAGAAAATACTGCAGTTAGTACTACAACTACCAAATACTGCAGTTAGTACTACAACTACCAAATACTGCAGTTAGTACTACAACTACCACATACTGCAGTTAGTACTACAACTACCAAATACTGCAGTTAGTACTACAACTACCACATACTGCAGTTAGTACTACAACTACCAAATACTGCAGTTAGTACTACAACTACCAAATACTGCAGTTCGTACGACAACTACCACATACTGCAGTTAGTACTACAACTACCAAATACTGCAGTTAGTACGACAACTACCAAATACTGCAGTTAGTACTACAACTACCACATACTGCAGTTAGTACTACAACTACCAAATACTGCAGTTAGTACGACAACTACCAAATACTGCAGTTAGTACTACAACTACCAAATACTGCAGTTAGTACGACAACTACCAAATACTGCAGTTAGTACTACAACTACCACATACTGCAGTTAGTACTACAACTACCAAATACTGCAGTTAGTACGACAACTACCAAATACTGCAGTTAGTACTACTACTACCACATACTGCAGTTAGTACGACAACTACCACATACTGCAGTTAGTACGACAACTACCAAATACTGCAGTTAGTACGACAACTACCACATACTGCAGTTAGTACTACAACTACCACATACTGCAGTTAGTACTACAACTACCACATACTGCAGTTAGTACTACAACTACCAAATACTGCAGTTCGTACGACAACTACCAAATACTGCAGTTAGTACGACAACTACCAAATACTGCAGTTAGTACTACAACTACCAAATACTGCAGTTAGTACGACAACTACCAAATACTGCAGTTAGTACTACAACTACCACATACTGCAGTTAGTACGACAACTACCACATACTGCAGTTAGTACTACAACTACCACATACTGCAGTTAGTACTACAACTACCAAATACTGCAGTTAGTACTACAACTACCACATACTGCAGTTAGTACTACAACTACCAAATACTGCAGTTAGTACTACAACTACCAAATACTGCAGTTAGTACGACAACTACCAAATACTGCAGTTAGTACTACAACTACCACATACTGCAGTTAGTACTACAACTACCAAATACTGCAGTTAGTACTACAACTACCACATACTGCAGTTAGTACGACAACTACCAAATACTGCAGTTAGTACGACAACTACCACATACTGCAGTTAGTACTACTACTACCACATACTGCAGTTAGTACGACAACTACCAAATACTGCAGTTAGTACTACTACTACCACATACTGCAGTTAGTACTACAACTACCAAATACTGCAGTTAGTACTACAACTACCACATACTGCAGTTAGTACTACAACTACCACATACTGCAGTTAGTACTACAACTACCAAATACTGCAGTTAGTACTACAACTACCACATACTGCAGTTAGTACGACAACTACCAAATACTGCAGTTAGTACTACAACTACCACATACTGCAGTTAGTACTACAACTACCAAATACTGCAGTTAGTACTACAACTACCACATACTGCAGTTAGTACGACAACTACCACATACTGCAGTTAGTACGACAACTACCACATACTGCAGTTAGTACTACTACTACCACATACTGCAGTTAGTACGACAACTACCAAATACTGCAGTTAGTACTACTACTACCACATACTGCAGTTAGTACTACAACTACCAAATACTGCAGTTCGTACGACAACTACCAAATACTGCAGTTAGTACTACAACTACCAAATACTGCAGTTAGTACGACAACTACCAAATACTGCAGTTAGTACTACAACTAATACATACTGCAGTTTAGTACGACAACTACCACATACTGCAGTTAGTACGACAACTACCACATACTGCAGTTAGTACTACAACTACCAAATACTGCAGTTAGTACTACAACTACGACATACTGCAGTTAGTACTACAACTACCAAATACTGCAGTTAGTACTACAACTACCACATACTGCAGTTAGTACGACAACTACCACATACTGCAGTTAGTACTACAACTACCACATACTGCAGTTAGTACTACAACTACCAAATACTGCAGTTAGTACGACAACTACCAAATACTGCAGTTAGTACTACTACTACCACATACTGCAGTTAGTACTACAACTACCAAATACTGCAGTTAGTACTGCTACTACCAAATACTGCAGTTAGTACGACAACTACCACATACTGCAGTTAGTACTACTACTACCACATACTGCAGTTAGTACTACAACTACCACATACTGCAGTTAGTACGACAACTACCACATACTGCAGTTAGTACGACAACTACCACATACTGCAGTTAGTACGACAACTACCACATACTGCAGTTAGTACTACTACTACCACATACTGCAGTTAGTACGACAACTACCACATACTGCAGTTAGTACTACTACTACCACATACTGCAGTTAGTACGACAACTACCACATACTGCAGTTAGTACGACAACTACCAAATACTGCAGTTAGTACGACAACTACCAAATACTGCAGTTAGTACTTTAGTATTAGTACTGTAGTATTAGTAATGTAGTACTGTAGTATTAGTACTGTCTAAAGATAAAGTTACTCTAGATGGCATTACCTTGGCCTCTAGCACCACTGTCAGGAATCTTGGAGTTATCTTTGATCAGGATTTGTCTTTTAACTCCCACATAAAGCAGACCTCTAGGACTGCCTTCTTTCATTTACGTAATATTACAAAAATTGGACACATCCTATCACAGACAGATGCAGAAAAACTAATCCATGCATTTGTTACTTCAAGGCTGGATTACTGCAACTCTTTATTATCAGGTTGCCCCAATAAGTCCATTAAAACGCTCCAATTAATTCAGAACGCTGCAGCACGAGTACTGACAGGAACTAGAAAAAGAGATCACATCTCTCCTGTACTAGCTACTCTGCATTGGCTCCCTATAAAATGTAGAATAGAATTTAAAATCCTCCTCCTCACCTATAAAGCTCTTCATGGTCAGGCCCCTTCATATCTTAAAGAGCTCATAGTACCCTATTACCCCACTAGAACACTACGTTCTCTGAATGCTGGGCTACTTGTGGTTCCTATAGTCTCTAAAAGTAGAACAGGAGCCAGAGCCTTCAGTTACCAAGCTCCTCTCCTGTGGAACCAGCTTCCAGTTGTGGTTCGGGAGGCAGACACCCTCACCACATTCAAGAGTAGGCTTAAGACATTCCTCTTTGATAAAGCTTATAGTTAGGGCTGGATCAGGTGAGTCCTGAACCATCCCTTAGTTATGCTGCTATAGGCCTAGACTATCGGGGGATTTCCCATGGTGCACTGAGCTCCTCCCTTCCTCTCTCTTTCTGCACTCATTCATGTCCCTTTAATGCATGTTACTAACTTCACTTCTTCCCCGGAGTTCTTGTGCTTTCTCGTCTCGCAGGTTCTTATGGATCCTGGTGGAGCCTCCTGCCATGGTCCTGCTAGATTACCATTGCCAATACTGTTGTTGCTGTGCACCTGTCTGTCTGTCTCTCGCTCTCTCTCTCTCTGCCTCTCTCTCTCTCTCTCTCTCTCTCTCTCTCTCTCTCACCCCAACTGGTCGAGACAGACGACCACCCACCTAGAGCCGGAGGGTCTGTCCTAGGTTTCTGCCTTTTAACAGGCAGTGTTTCCTTGCCCTTGTCTCCAAGGTCTTGCTCATGGTGGTACTGTTGGGTCTCTGTAAATAATGTTATAAAGAGTTCGGTCTAGACCTGCTCTATTTGAAAAGTGTCCTGAGATAACTTCTGTTATGAATTGGCGCTATACAAATAAAATTTAATTGAATTGAATAGTACTGTAGTACTGTAGTATTAGTACCTGTAGTAACATGTCTCCGGGCTCGATGCGTCCGTCTGCTGCCACCGCTCCTCCCTTCATGATGGAGCCGATATAAATTCCTCCGTCTCCTCTGTCGTTACTCTGACCCACAATGCTGATACCCAGGAAGTTATACCTCTCTGACAGACAGACAGACAGACAGACAGGGAGACACACAAACAGGGAGACACAGAGAGAGAAACACACAGACAGACAGAGAGAGAAGACATATAGGGACAGAAAACTGATTATGAGTTGTACCTGTGTGCAGTCAATACTGTAAATAATAATAACAATAATAATCAGATGGTTTAATGTAAACAGGAAACAGCTGAAAGAGAAACATGATCACAGTGATGAAGACTTAAAGTAACTAAAGTACATTTACTCAACTACAGTCCTCAGGTACAAATATAGATTCATGTTTATATATTCAACATTTTTGGCTCTACTTCCTGTACCGGTGTCTCATTTCATTTCAATAACTGATCAAATGATCAATATTTAACTAAAACCAAAGCCAAAGTATTATTGCTAGCAAAATGCTATCTGAGTGGATATATTAGTTGGCTAATGATAGCTTCCCCAGCTTACCTAATATATGATACCAATGTATGTATTCTGACAAACTGTGTTGACTGTTCACTGAGCAGCCACTGGTGGCGCTGTTAGCACCAGTTTAATGAACGGCCACTGGTGGCGCTGTTAGCACCAGTTTAATGAACGGCCACTGTTGACACTGTTAGCACCAGTTTAATGAACGACCACTGGTGGCGCTGTTAGCTACAGTTTAATGAACGTCCACTGGTGGCGCTGTTAGCTACAGTTTAATGAACGGCCACTGTTGACACTGTTAGCACCAGTTTAATGAATGTCCACTGGTGGCGCTGTTAGCTACAGTTTAATGAACGGCCACTGTTGACACTGTTAGCACCAGTTTAATGAACGTCCACTGGTGACACTGTTAGCACCAGTTTAATGAATGGCCACTGTTGACACTGTTAGCTACAGTTTAATGAACGACCACTGGTGACACTGTTAGCACCAGTTTAATGAACGACCACTGATGGCGCTGTTAGTTACAGTTTAATGAACGACCACTGGTGGCGCTGTTAGCTACAGTTTAATGAACGACCACTGGTGGCGCTGTTAGTTACAGTTCACTGAACGACCACTGGAGGCGCTGTTAGCACCAGTTTAATGAATGGCCACTGTTGACACTGTTAGCTACAGTTTAATGAACGACCACTGGTGACACTGTTAGCACCAGTTTAATGAACGACCACTGATGGCGCTGTTAGTTACAGTTTAATGAACGACCACTGGTGGCGCTGTTAGCACCAGTTTAATGAACGGCCACTGGTGGCGCTGTTAGCACCAGTTTAATGAACGGCCACTGTTGACACTGTTAGCACCAGTTTAATGAACGATCACTGGTGGCGCTGTTAGCTACAGTTTAATGAACGTCCACTGGTGGCGCTGTTAGCTACAGTTCACTGAGCAGCCACTGGTGGCGCTGTTAGCACCAGTTTAATGAACGGCCACTGGTGGCGCTGTTAGCACCAGTTTAATGAACGGCCACTGTTGACACTGTTAGCACCAGTTTAATGAACGACCACTGGTGGCGCTGTTAGCTACAGTTTAATGAACGTCCACTGGTGGCGCTGTTAGCTACAGTTTAATGAACGGCCACTGTTGACACTGTTAGCACCAGTTTAATGAATGTCCACTTGTGGCGCTGTTAGCTACAGTTTAATGAACGGCCACTGTTGACACTGTTAGCACCAGTTTAATGAACGTCCACTGGTGACACTGTTAGCACCAGTTTAATGAATGGCCACTGTTGACACTGTTAGCTACAGTTTAATGAACGACCACTGGTGACACTGTTAGCACCAGTTTAATGAACGACCACTGATGGCGCTGTTAGTTACAGTTTAATGAACGACCACTGGTGGCGCTGTTAGCTACAGTTTAATGAACGACCACTGGTGGCGCTGTTAGTTACAGTTCACTGAACGACCACTGGAGGCGCTGTTAGCACCAGTTTCATGAACGGCCACTGGTGGCGCTGTTAGCTACAGTTCACTGAACGACCACTGGTGGCGCTGTTAGCTACAGTTTAATGAACGACCACTGGTGACACTGTTAGCACCAGTTTAATGAACGACCACTGGTGGCGCTGTTAGCTACAGTTTAATGAACGTCCACTGGTGGCACTGTTAGCTACAGTTTAATGAACGACCACTGGTGACACTGTTAGCACCAGTTTAATGAACGACCACTGGTGGCGCTGTTAGCACCAGTTTAATGAACGGCCACTGTTGACACTGTTAGCACCAGTTTAATGAACGGCCACTGGTGACACTGTTAGCACCAGTTTCATGAACGTCCACTGTTGACACTGTTAGCTACAGTTTAATGAACGTCCACTGGTGACACTGTTAGCTACAGTTTAATGAACGTCCACTGGTGACGCTGTTAGCACCAGTTTAATGAACGTCCACTGTTGACACTGTTAGCTACAGTTTAATGAACGTCCACTGGTGACACTGTTAGCTACAGTTTAATGAACGACCACTGGTGGCGCTGTTAGCTACAGTTTAATGAACGGCCACTGGTGACGCTGTTAGCACCAGTTTAATGAACGGCCACTGGTGGCGCTGTTAGCTACAGTTTAATGAAGGCCACTGGTGGCGCTGTTAGCTACAGTTTAATGAACGGCCACTGGTTGCGCTGTTAGCTACAGTTTAATGAAGGCCACTGGTGGCGCTGATAGCTACAGTTTAATGAACGGCCACTGTTGACACTGTTAGCACCAGTTTAATGAACAGCCACTGGTGACACTGTTAGGTACAGTTTAATGAATGTCTACTGGTGGCGCTGTTAGGTACAGTTTAATGAACGACCACTGGTGGCGCTGTTTAATGTTACATAGAGGAGCTGATAATAGTTAGCTACAGTTTAATGAATGGCCACTGTTGACACTGTTAGCTACAGTTTAATGAATGTCCACTGGTGACACTGTTAGCACCAGTTTAATGAACGGCCACTGGTGGCGCTGTTAGCACCAGTTTAATGAAGGCCACTGGTGGCGCTGTTAGCTACAGTTTAATGAAGGCCACTGGTGGCACTGTTAGCTACAGTTTAATGAAGGCCACTGGTGGCGCTGTTAGCTACAGTTTAATGAAGGCCACTGGTGGCGCTGTTAGCTACAGTTTAATGAACGGCCACTGTTGACACTGTTAGCACCAGTTTAATGAACAGCCACTGGTGACACTGTTAGCACCAGTTTAATGAACGTCCACTGTTGACACTGTTAGCACCAGTTTAATGAATGGCCACTGTTGACACTGTTAGGTACAGTTTAATGAATGTCTACTGGTGGCGCTGTTAGGTACAGTTTAATGAACGACCACTGGTGACACTGTTAGCGGCTGTGGCTCAGAGGCAGAGCGGGTCGTTCCTTAATAGCACCAGTTTAATGAACGGCCACTGGTGGCGCTGTTAGCACCAGTTTCATGAACGGCCACTGGTAGCGCTGTTTAATGTTACATAGAGGAGCTGATAATAGTTTATACGGATTTTAATGGAGTATTTTTACTTTGTAGTAACTAAAGTACCTCTGAGTACTTCCTGTGCTGGTACTCACCCATGTTCAGAGTTACAGTGATGACGTTGAGCGACATGGTGGAGTCAGTGACACTGCTGAAAGACACAGACTGACACACAGACAGGTACAGGAGGACAGACAGGAGGACAGAGAGAGAGACAGGTAAGAGAGGAAAGTGAAGGACAGATCAGTGACAGGAAGCAGCTGTTTCACTGTGTGTGTGTGTGTGTGTGTACCCTCTCCATCCGCTGGGTTTTGGGTTTCCGGTGGCGGCGCCGTTGTCGCCTGACGAGTCGCGGCGAGGAGCTGCTCCGCCCTGTTGATTGGCTGAACCTGTGTGACATCACAGAGGGAAAAAAACAGAACTAAATAAATTGATAATCTGACAACAAAAATACAAACATTTAAATAACATAATATATATAATAATATAGATTCAATACATCTGAAAATGCGAATGATTAAATTCATATAATTATGTTGGCGAGCTATGTATGAAAATAATTAATATAATAATAATATTGGTAAAACTGATAAATAATGAGAAACTAAAATCTAAAACTGTAGAATATATTCACAAAAAAAGAAGTGAAACATTTTAGAATTTCCCTCCAATCAAATGTTCAATGTCAGTTATTAAATGAATATATTAGATATAAGAATAAAAACAAACCTTTGAAAACAAAATCATCAAAAATAAAACAAAAGTCAAAAATCTGTTGAAAATAAAGTGATAATAATAAAATATAAAATCAGATGGAAGAAGTCTGCAGCTCCGCGTTTGACTGACAGGAACAAATTATTTCTGCTCTCAGATCAGCTGGGACTCTTTTATCTGATGGACAATACACCGCCGGTCACGTGACCTGCAGCAGCCAATCAGAGCCGGAGACCCGAGTGTGAACTGGTTTACTGGAGCAGAAGAAGACCTGAGGGCAGGTGAATGTGTGCACTCATCAAACCGACCAATCACAGCGAGAGCTGCTGATGATGAGTGTTTATGTTGAGGATACCGCTGGTCTCTGATTGGTTGATACCACGTAAGCCGAATTTACCAAAACACCAAATGTTTTTGTACAAATGTGTCAACTTTTATTTTCTGTGGTTGATTTTCATCAAAACACAAGAAACAAACAAAAGTCAAAAGACACTTTTTAATAATCATCAAATAATATAATGTACCCTTCCTAAGCCCCGCCCCCTTTTTGTTGAACAAACTTCCTCCTTTCCTGTACTTAGATATGCTATGCTAAGCTACTCTATGTTGAAAACACAACCACATTTTGAAAATGGTTAAAAGATAAAAGAGAAGTTTATATATAGCCATATCTTAAGTAAGCTAATGTTAGCAAAACACTAGCTAACTAGCTAACTAATGGTTAATGTAAATTAGCTAGTTAGTTAGCTAGTGTTTTATTCATTTGAATTAATAGAAGACACCCCGAAGCTATTTCACTATTCATATATTTATTATCCATCAATTGTAAGATAATCACATCTTAAGTTAGTGAATGTTAGCAAAATGCTAACTAACTAACGACTGTTTTCTGTCTGCATCATTGCTTCTTCAGATTACTGAGTGTACTTGAACACACCACCAAGGCACATCCAGGTGATCTACACTGACTCAGAGCCAGGTAAAGGTGAGGGCCTCGTATTCCTGTATGACAGTGAGGGTCCTCACAAGTACATGAAGACAGGAACGTGTGTGTGTCTGACCTTCCTCCTGAGTCTTCCTCTGATGAGCAGAAACTGGTCGTCTCTAATTGGCTGCTCTGTTGGGTTGACGAGCTGTCACCACCACCTGTTGGCTCCGCCCCATTCTGCTCAGCTGGTTGGTGGGCGTGGCCATTCAGACACCCACCTGCAGAGAAAGCAGAGTCTTTATTGACCCAAACCAAGATGGCCGCCTGAGAGGTCCCAAGTGATGATTCTTACCTCGATCAGTCTCTCTCTCTCCTCTCTGAGGAGGTGGAGTGACAGCGCTGACCTCTGACCCCTGCTGCTCCTCCTGACCGCTCACAGCAGCAGCACTGACAGACAGACAGACAGACAGACACATTTATGTAAACGACCAGGAAGAAGTGTTTCTACTGATGTCTAAAATTTGAGTTCCACTGGAAACATCTGGAATTAACCTTTCCTAAGCCCCGCCCCTTTTGTTCTGTCAACTTCTTCACCTCCGACGCCAACGCAGGTTAGGGTAGCGAGGTAGCTAGGTAGCATTAGCAGGTAACATTACGCTGATGATTCTGTCGGCTTCAGTCAGTGAGGACCTGTAAGTAATGCGTCAGACGACAGTAAAACGTCTCGTATTACCGCTGTTGTAGTCAAGATGGCGTCCGTTCAGTGCGAGTAGGGTCCATCATTACACACTGAATTGTTTGACCGTTTTTAGGGTTTTAGGGTTTTTAGGGTTGTGCTTTCAGTGCACTGACTTTTGGTGTTATCTCCACTGTATACTTAAAACTAAGTGTTTGAAGAATGAGACACAGCCAGTGTGTGTTGGTAGCTTATCAGCAGCACCCCTGCTGGCTGTTAGAGAGAATGCAGGTTAACACACTCACTGGAAGGATGGAGGTCTGGAGTCTCCGATCCCACCTGTCCTCTCTATGGGGGGCGGGGCCAGGCTGGTGGGCGTGGCCACGGACTGAATGTCTGAACCCCTGAAATCTGACTGACAGGTTTCTGAAGACACGAGCTGGAGAGAGAGAGAGAGAGAGAGAGAGAGAGAGAGACACATTAACACCTGAAGAGAGAGACAGGGAGAGAGACAGAGAGAGGGAGAGACAGACAGAGAGAGACAGACAGAGAGAGAGAGAGAAAGTTTCTCACCCAGCAGACAACTCGTCCGTTTATAATCGGCAGTTTTGCATCTTCATCACTGATCTCCTCCTTCACCACCCTGTGAACACATCATCATCATCATCATCATGGTAAATGGACCTGTACTTGTATAGTTTCCTTTCTAGTCTTCCGACCACTCAAAGCGCTTTTACACTACGTGCCACATTCACCCTTTCACACACATTCACACAGTGATGGCAAAGTCCATCGAACAGAAACTAACATTCATACACATTCACACACCGATGCACGGCATCGGGAGCAATTTGGGGTTCAGTATCTTGCTCAAGGATGCTTCGACATGTAGCACCAGGAGCCGGGGATCGAACCCACAACCTTCCAATTAAGGAACGACCCGCTCTGCCTCTGAGTCACAGCCGCTCCCGAATCAGAACATCATCAATGTTCAGTTTCTGATCAATAATTGATAATCCTGTATTGATAGTAAACTCCTGTGATCATACTGATTAATGAACGTTGGTCCCTCATTGGTTGAACCCTGTGAACCCCTAAACCACAACCCCTTAACAATAACCCCTGAGTACTGACAGGAACTAGAAAAAGAGATCACATCTCTCCTGTACTAGCTAATCTGCATTGGCTCCCTGTAAAATGTAGAATTGAATTTAAAATCCTCCTCCTCACCTATAAAGCTCTTCATGGTCAGGCCCCTTCATATCTTAAAGAGCTCATAGTACCCTATTACCCCACTAGAACACTACGTTCTCTGAATGCTGGGCTACTTGTGGTTCCTATAGTCTCTAAAAGTAGAACAGGAGCCAGAGCCTTCAGTTACCAAGCTCCTCTCCTGTGGAACCAGCTTCCAGTTTTGGTTCGGGAGGCAGACACCCTCACCACATTCAAGAGTAGGCTTAAGACATTCCTCTTTGATAAAGCTTATAGTTAGGGCTGGATCAGGTGAGTCCTGAACCATCCCTTAGTTATGCTGCTATAGGCCTAGACTATCGGGGGATTTCCCATGATGCACTGAGCTCCTCTCTTCCTCTCTCTTTCTGCACTCATTCATGTCCCATTAATGCATGTTACTAACTTCACTTCTTCCCCGGAGTTCTTGTGCTTTCTCGTCTCCTATCTCTCTCTCTCTGTCTCTCTCTCTGTCTGTTCTCTGTCTCTCTCTCTCTCTCTCTCTCTCTCTCTCTCTCTCTCTCTCTCTCTCTCTCTCACCCCAACTGGTCGAGACAGACGACCACCCACCTAGAGCCGGAGGATCTGTCCTAGGTTTCTGCCTTTTAACAGGCAGTTTTTCCTTGCCCTTGTCTCCAAGGTCTTGCTCATGGTGGTACTGTTGGGTCTCTGTAAATAATGTTATAAAGAGTTCGGTCTAGACCTGCTCTATTTGAAAAGTGTCCTGAGATAACTTCTGTTATGAATTGGCGCTATACAAATAAAATTGAATTGAACAATAACCCCTATTTTCTCTATTTTTTAAAATCTTCTTCAGGATATTTTTACACCCAAAAATGAAGATCAGAGGAATCAACTGAGAGAGAGTGTCTTTTATATAATCCCAACACACACACACACACACACAGACACACACACACAGACACACACACACACACACAGACACACACACACTCTGTTATATAACCGTTAAAGCTCTTCAGCTCTGATAATCTGTTTGTTATTTATGACACAAACTATTTTATTTGTCAGTTAAACAACTTAATATTATTATTGATGATTTGAGTGCTAATAATATTATATATGTAATAATATTGTGTGTCAATATGGAAGCTGTTTATTTTATTTGTTGTATTTATTTATGTTTCTGTGGATGTGGTTAGCTTAGCTTAGCATAAAGACCGGAAGCAACAGAACAAAAAACAAAATCCACATTGCAACAGCTCAAAGGACCAGAACCAGGACCAGAACCAGGACCAGAACCAGGACCAGAACCTGAACCAGGACCAGGACCAGAACCTGAACCAGGACCAGGACCAGGACCAGAACCAGGACCAGGACCAGGACCAGAACCTGAACCAGGACCAGTTTGTTGTTAAAAACAAAATATATAAATAATAAAATCCTTGTATTGACACTTTAGTCAATATTATTATTTGTATTAATATTTACTATATTTATATAACACATTTTATATTAACTTCAATTGTTATTATTATTGTTGTTGTTATTATTATTGTTATTATTGTTATTATTATTATTATTTTACAATATGAACAGTGCTGATCCTCCCTATCCATCAGTATCCATCAGTATCGATCAGTATCGATCAGCGGACTCACCCGAAGTCGTCATCCACGGACTTGAAGAAGAATTTGAGGTTCGGTTTGTTCAGGACCTGTTTGAAGTCCGCCAGGGTGACGCGCTGCGCGGGCACGTTGATCCGGATCAGGTAGGGGGTGTCCTGGTCCTCCAGGTGGTAGATGACCCGGGTCTCCTCCGCCATGCTGTCCCCCATGGAGCGGCCCGGCACGGCCCGGCACGGCCCGGAACCCCGCACCGGTCTGCAGGAGAGAGACACCGCGGAGGATGCTGGGAGAGAGAGAGAGAGAGAGAGAGACACCTGTCTGCCTGTCTGTCTGCCTGCGGGTCCACCTGTCCACCTGTCTGCCTGTCTGTCTGTCTGCCTGCGGGTCCACCTGTCTGTCGGTCCCGGTCCAGATGCTGCAGATGTCTGATGCTCTCAGTCTCCTCCGGAAGTCACAGAGATTCACCACTTCCGTCTCAGCCCTTCAAAATAAAAGCCGACAGGACGCTGACGATCCAAATGAATGTGTTTTATTCCAACTAGAATTTATTTCTTTAAGTTTATGACTTGATTTTATAGACAGATTCCCTATAAATATTATTATTATTATTATATATATAATATATAATAGACGTCCCGATCCAACATTATAATTATATCCTAAACATATTTATATTTTATTACAGTAATATTCTCTTCAGTCTGCAGTAATACAGTTTGATCTTTAACAGCTCGAGTCTATAGTCACAAACACACAACAGGGACTAATACTACTACTACTAATAACAATAAAGGTTTAAAGAGTTTGTAAAGTTACAATCATTATTTGTTTCAGTCTCTTTAAGAATAAAAGCTGGATGTTTCCTGTAATATTTAGGATTTATATTTCTGTGTATTTGTTTTATTTATACTGCAGTACTTTGTTGTACCACTGACAGTATATATATATATATTTATAAAATATATATATATATATTTATTTACTGTCAAAATGGTTGACAGAATACTTCATAACAGCATTCTTCCGCTTTTATTTTGAAGGTAAAGCCACACATCTTCCGGTATTTTTCGGAAACAGAATTATTGTGAATATTTCTGACTTTACATTTCCGGTTTTCACTGACTGAACTCTTTCAAAATAACAGCAGAGGTTTTATTTTATTTTTTTCAGATTTGAATGTTGTGACTTTTAAAGCATTAAAATTAATTATCACTTTATTTTATTTTACCATATTACCATCTGGAGGTTCTGCAGAAACCTGGGGCCCCTGAAAGATCCCCAACACCCCATCAAGGTTCTCCAAGGACCCCCCAAAAAACCCCAAACTGACCCTGAACAACACAATGTGGAGTCTCAATCGTTTATTCATTTCTCATCAAACATTCATTATGTGAGGAGGCGTTCACTGACAGCTGGGAACAGTGGGACGATTCAGCTTCAAATCAGTTAAAAAAAACAAAAAATTAACTTAAATATTGATCAGTAGAACGTACTGATCAGGAATTATTGATTCTTCTCAGCATCAGTCTCTGTTGGTGTTTTCTGTCCCATAATTATAGAATATAGAATCAGTGATCGTCAGTTAAAGGGAGATTTTTATTGCAGCTGGTTGAAGGAGAAACAGACAGAATCAACGTTAAAGGGATGGAGGTGAAGCAGAAAGCTCTCAGTTCCCAGCTACAGTGAACGCAGCATTAAGGCCACTCAGGTGGAAGGCTGCTGGTGTGAAAGCGTCGCCCCGAGTCGTCGTCTGCAGGTTTGTTAGAATCAGGAGGTAGAGTTCATTTCAGCTACGAGTTATTAAAGACGACGACAAACGCCGTTCAAAATCACACAATGATTTCTGCCAGGAAGTGATCACAGTGACACAGGAAATAAAAACGAGACATGATTACCATAAAAATCTAAATGAGTTTCACACAACAGGAAGTAAAAGTGAAAGTCGCCGGCTTTAAAGAACATTTCTGTCAGACAGAAACTCACTGAATGTTTCCAATGTGTCTTCAACATTCTCAGTCTGAGAGTTTAGAGTAGCTTTAGAATAGCTTTAGAGTAGATTTACATGAAACCAGTCAGATCACTGAGGCAGTGTCTGTATTGAACGTTACATCTGTAGTATAGAACTTATTGACCACCAGGACCTATTGACCACCAGGACTTATTGACCACCAGGACCTATTGACCACCAGGACTTATTGACCACCAGGACTTATTGACCACCAGGACTTATTGACCACCAGGAGCGCTGTTTCCTCAATCTCCCTGTCTGTTAGCAGCAGTTAGCGGTAAGCTAATAGATACAAGTATATGTCTGTCAGTAAACTCTGAAAAGCCCTGAGAGTGGAGGCAGAGAAGCTGCAGACATCAGAGGAAAAAGCAGAAAAAAAAGTTTGCTCGTCATGATGTCGTTATTTCAGCATCATGTTGATCCGTTGATTGTTCTCGAGGTGACGAGCTGACGTCGGCTGTTTGTCACATAAAGTAGAAAAAGAGGTTGGAAACATTCAGGGTCTGAATTTAGAGCTTTTTACCTCGTTATGTGACACTCATTTAACATCAACATCCCACGTTGGAGCGTTGAATATCCGACAGACTCATTCATTAGTGATTAGCTGGAAACTCTTCTGATGACAGTTTTCTGATCAACAGTTCAGTTATTTTCTGACACTTTTAATCAGCAATCAATGAAAACCAGAGTGTTCACTGAACGTCCAAATATTCAAAAACATCCTCACACAGCGACTTTAATAATCTGAATATTATTATTATACTAATTAACTTCTAGTTTGAACTTTTTTGAACCTTTAGTGGCAGAAATGAGCCTCCAGGTTGTGATCAATCAAGACGATCAATAAATCAACTGTTAAATCTCAGAGAGGATGATGATGATGATGATGATGATGATGATGAAAAAACAAAGACCCTAACCCTAACCCTTACTTCAAGTTATCAGTTAAATTGCACCGAGGAGTAAAAATGTGTAAATCTTCAGGGGACTCCGGCATCGCCGACGCCCAATCAGAGGAGACGTCTCAGGGCTGCTGATCGCAGTCTGAGGGGTCTCACGTGGAAGTCACATGATGATGAGTCATCATCCAGCAGCAGCCCTGAGCGGTGACCTTTAACCCCTGTCAGAATCAACTTCCTGCCGCGACCTGGAGTGAACTTCCTGTCGTACGGAGTTTTCTTCATTACAGTGTTCAACCTTTTAGTGACTGTAGTTCTGAGTCGGCTGGAGCCGTCGCCATGGCAACAGCTTACATCATCACAACAACAGCATCCACGCTTCCACCGCGACCAATCGTCACAGCCACCACGACCTGACTGTCACTTCACGCAGAGACGTTGACGTCCCGCAGAGCGATGGCAGCGGTCGTCCCAGCAGCAGCTGTGGCGGCGGAGGAGGCGGATGGCGTGGTGGCGGGCTGTGGCTGTGGGGAGGTGGAGGGAGAGGGGGGCAGGATGGACAGAGCAGAGCCGTTCTGATTGGTCGGGGCGGCGGCGCTCTGAAACAGGATCTGCTGTAACGTTCGTCTGAGGTTGGGATGCAGGCGGCGCTGAGTCTGGTTGAAGATCTCCACGGCGAAGCACTTCATCACCCCGGCAACCAGGTCGTCGTACAGCGGCATGGTGTACATCCTGGACGTCTACGGAGAGAGAGAGGGATGTTACACATGGCTGACAGGGACCGCCAGACACCTGATTACAGCCGTTACAGTAGTTGCAGTGCGACGGTAGAACTCGGTGCAGTGTTACGGTAGTACTCGGTGCAGTGCGACGGTAGTACTCGGTGCAGTGTTACGGTAGTACTCGGTGCAGTGCGACGGTAGTACTCGGTGCAGTGTTACGGTAGAACTCGGTGCAGTGCGACGGTAGAACTCGGTGCAGTGTTACGGTAGTACTCGGTGCAGTGCGACGGTAGTACTGGTGGTGTTACGGTAGAAGTCGGTGCAGTGCGACGGTAGAACTCGGTGCAGTCCTACGGTAGAACTCGGTGCAGTCCTACGGTAGAACTCGGTGCAGTCCTACGGTAGAACTCGGTGCAGTCCTACGGTAGAACTCGGTGCAGTGTTACGGTAGTACTCGGTGCAGTGCGACGGTAGAACTCGGTGCAGTGCGACGGTAGAAGTCGGGGCAGTGCGACGGTAGAACTCGGTGCAGTGTTACGGTAGTACTCGGTGCAGTGCGACGGTAGAAGTCGGGGCAGTGCGACGGTAGTACTCGGTGCAGTGTTACGGTAGTACTCGGTGCAGTCCTACGGTAGAACTCGGTGCAGTCCTACGGTAGAACTCGGTGCAGTGTTACGGTAGTACTCGGTGCAGTGCGACGGTAGAACTCGGTGCAGTGCGACGGTAGAACTCGGGGCAGTGCGACGGTAGAACTCGGGGCAGTGCGACGGTAGAACTCGGTGCAGTGCGACGGTAGAACTCGGTGCAGTGCGACGGTAGAACTCGGTGCAGTGTCATTACTGACGTGTTTGTGGAGGAAGGCTCGGACACGAGGCAGTTCGGGGTAGAAACTGTTCCTCACAACCATCTGCAGCCAGCGGATCTGAACCTCAGCATTCAGACCATCAAACAGGGACGAGTAACAACCAGACAGACCGGCCATCACGTCTGCAGAGAGACAGACAGAGAGACGATTTCAATGAGGATGAAGCCTTGTTCACACAACACAACTTTCTGTTTTTACCTGGAATCTGAGCTGATATTGATCCTGATCAGCCTGATTAGTAATCAATACTCCCATTATTAAAGCATCAATCAATCTAATAGCGTCAGACAACCTGATCAGCCTTTAGCAGTTAGCTAGTGTTTCTGTAGTGGAGACTAAACGTTAACAATGATCCATATCAGCAGTTTGAATCCAACTAAAAGCTCCCTGCACCAAACTCCCTTTAAGAAATATCACATTTTAACAATTCCTAACGTGTTCGTAACAACACGTAACTCTAGAAACACGAGCTAAAGGCCGTCATATGTCCACAGTCTGACTGTCAATACAGGATCAATATCATCCATAAAGATACAGTGTATGCTGATCAATATCATCCATAAAGATACAGTGTATACTGATCAATAATCAATAGATAGATATATATAGATATCTATATAGATATATATAGATATCTATATATATATGATATCTATATATAGCTATATAGATATATATGTACACATATTATTGTACAGTAGTACCGTGCGGCAGAGGGGAGAGGTCGAGCATGCGGTCGAGGAACAGGACGATCTGAAAGGTGCTCCAGGCCGAGAGGTCAAAGGTCGCCACGGTCTTCAGGTCAGGGGGGTCGCTGCTCCTCCACAGGTCACAGAGATCCTGAACAGGTCGGGTCAGAGCGCCCCCCGCAGACAGATCGGGCTCATACAGCGGGGGTCCACAGCCGCTCAACCAGCGCTCAAACTCCAGACCTGACGCACACACAGGAAGTGATGTCACTTCCAAAACAAAACTCAACTGTACTCATAAACACATTAATCACTAATCAATCAGCTGACTCCTCCTCCTCCTCCTCCTCCTCCTCCTCCTCCTCACCCTCTCTCTGGGCGATGGCGGCGTCCTTCAGCTCCGGGAAATAACCGAGGAAGTAGTCGATGAGGTCCTGAGCCACCACACTCTTAAACTTAAACTCTGAGATATAATCCTGAACACAGATAATCAATAATCAATCAGTCCTGAAAACAGAACTGATATAGTGATCAATAATGATGATTGTCATTAGTTAATAATCACTGTGTGCGATGGATCAGTGATATTTATTGATTATTTATTGGTTTTCTAAGCAAAGCTGCAGTTCCGCTAGTGTCCACCAGAGGCTGCAGCAGCGAGTCAGCCATTATTAACCTTTAATGACAGTAACTCATTAATAATAATAATAATAATAATAAAGTGTGATTAATAATAATAATAATAATAATAACAAAGTGTCTGATTAATAATAATAATAATAAAGTGTGATTAATAATAATAAAGTGTCTGATTAATAATAATAATAATAATAAAGTGTCTGATTAATAATAATAATAATAATAAAGTGTGATTAATAATAATAATAATAATAAAGTGTGTGATTAATAATAATAATGTGTGATTAATAATAATAATGTGTGATTAATAATAATAATGTTGATTAATAATAATAATAATAATAAAGTGTCTGATTAATAATAATAATAATAAAGTGTGTGTGTGTCAGTGTGTGTCAGTGTGTGTCTGTGTGTGTGTGTGTGTGTGTGTGTGTGTGGGCTGACCCTGAGGAAGCAGTCGAAGCGTCTGACGTCTCCACAGATCTCCGACAGGTAGGACACGAAGCAGAAACCTTTCTCGTAGGTGAACAGGTTCATGAGAGAGCTGGGGTTCACACCTGGAGACCAGAGACAGCTGACTCACCTGTACGAGTCACATGACCCCTAACCACTAATCTCACACTGGGTTGTAAGGTATGATGCTAACTTAAGTATTCTGACAGTGTATATTAATAATAATGTGATCATATATTAATATCAGTAATAATGTGTGTGCCTGTTACCTGGCTCAAATTTGACCTGCAGTTTGCTCACAGGGTTGTTGTCTCCAAGGAGACGCAGCTGTCTGTGGAGGGCGTCCAATCGGACGGCAGTTTCCAGACAGGTGAACGCCTCACCTGAAGACGACGAGGAAGGAGAATCAGTAGTAGTATTAGCAGTATTATCAGTATTATTAGTGTTATTAGCAGTATTATTAGTGTTATTAGCAGTGTTATTAGCAGTGTTATTAGTATTATTAGCAGTATTATTAGTATTATTAGTGTTATTAGCAGTGTTATTAGTATTATTAGTGTTATTAGCAGTGTTATTAGTATTATTAGTGTTATTAGCAGTATTATTAGTATTATTAGTGTTATTAGCAGTATTATTAGCAGTGTTATTAGTGTTATTAGCAGTATTATTAGCAGTGTTATTAGCAGTGTTATTAGTATTATTAGCAGTATTATTAGTATTATTAGTGTTATTAGCAGTGTTATTAGTATTATTAGCAGTATTATCAGTGTTATTAGTGTTATTAGCAGTATTATTAGTGTTATTAGCAGTGTTATTAGCAGTATTATTAGTGTTATTAGCAGTATTATTAGTGTTATTAGCAGTGTTATTAGTGTTATTAGCAGTGTTATTAGTGTTATTAGCAGTGTTATTAGCAGTATTATCAGTGTTATTAGCAGTATTATTAGTGTTATTAGTGTTATTAGCAGTATTATTAGTGTTATTAGTGTTATTAGCAGTATTATCAGTGTTATTAGCAGTGTTATTAGTGTTATTAGCAGTATTATTAGTATTATTAGCAGTATTATCAGTGTTATTAGTGTTATTAGCAGTATTATTAGCAGTATTATTAGTGTTATTAGCAGTGTTATTAGCAGTATTCTTAGTATTATTAGCAGTATTATCAGTGTTATTAGTGTTATTAGCAGTATTATTAGTGTTATTAGCAGTATTATTAGTGTTATTAGCAGTGTTATTAGCAGTGTTATTAGTGTTATTAGCAGTGTTATTAGCAGTATTATTAGTGTTATTAGCAGTATTATTAGTATTATTAGCAGTATTATCAGTGTTATTAGTGTTATTAGCAGTATTATTAGCAGTATTATTAGTGTTATTAGCAGTATTATTAGTGTTATTAGCAGTATTATTAGTGTTATTAGCAGTGTTATTAGCAGTGTTATTAGTGTTATTAGCAGTGTTATTAGCAGTATTATCAGTGTTATTAGCAGTATTATTAGTGTTATTAGTGTTATTAGCAGTATTATTAGTGTTATTAGTGTTATTAGCAGTATTATCAGTGTTATTAGCAGTGTTATTAGTGTTATTAGCAGTATTATTAGTATTATTAGCAGTATTATCAGTGTTATTAGTGTTATTAGCAGTATTATTAGCAGTATTATTAGTGTTATTAGAGTGTTATTAGAGTATTCTTAGTATTATTAGAGTATTATCAGTGTTATTAGTGTTATTAGCAGTATTATTAGTGTTATTAGCAGTATTATTAGCAGTGTTATTAGCAGTGTTATTAGTGTTATTAGCAGTGTTATTAGCAGTATTATTAGTGTTATTAGCAGTATTATTAGTATTATTAGCTCCGTACCGTAGGCCTCTGTGGTGATCCGGCGCTGGGCGTAGGTAGCTAGCCCCTCGCTCAGCCACATCTCCTCCCAGGTGGCGTTGGTGACGGCGTTGCCGAACCAGCCGTGTGAGATTTCGTGGATGACGTCGATGAGGAGGAACTCGCTGCTCTCCAGGATGGAGGCGATGATGAAGGTGAGGCAGGGGTTCTCCATGGCAACGATGGGGAAGGAGGGGGGGAGGAAGACGATGTCACACCTGAGGGCGGGTCAGAGGTCGTCACTGAGGCTTTAATGAACGCTGATTATTGATCGGCGCCGCACTCACCTGCCCCACAGGTACGGGCCGAACAGTTGCTCCGCCACCGCCAGCCAGCGCTCCACGCTGCCGCCAAGCTTCTTCACCGCACATGACAGCAGACAGGGTTCCGCCCACACACGACTCCTGCACCACAGCCGATACATAATCAATAAATAACGACGACAATAAATACTGACAGCAACAACATAACCACTGTAACCGCGGTAACTGCTGCTGTTACTGCACACAACAAAGATCGAGGACATGAAAGTGGAAACTCAAAGTTATGATTATTGGAAATCATCTCTCATCTAAGTATTGATCTGTATTCTTCTATCATATGGCATTGACGCTCTTCCAAATTATCAGAATATCGCTCAAATTGGCAAGATAATCTTAAAACTTATAGAAAGGCCCTCCGTAATGCCAGAGGAGCCTATTACTCAGCACTAATAGAAGAACAACCCTAGGTTCCTCTTCAGCACTGTAGCCAGGCTGACAGAGAGTCACAGCTCTATCGAGCCACATATCCCCATAAACTTAAGTAGCAATGACTTCATGAGCTTCTTCTATAATAAAATTATTACTATTAGAGAAAAAATTAATCACCAACTGCCATCAACAGTTATCAGTGGCTCTCCAAGTTCAGGGACTTCTGTCAATGTAAACTTAGATATATATTTAGACTGTTTTTCTGCTATCGATCTTCATCACTTAACTTCAATCATTTCTTCATCGAAGCCATCAACCTGTCTATTAGACCCGATCCCAACTAGGCTGCTTAAAGAAGTTGTTCCCTTAATTGGCACTTCTTTACTGGATATGATTAATCTTTCTTTATTATCAGGATATGTACCACAGTCCTTTAAAGTAGCTGTAATTAAACCCCTTCTTAAAAAGCCCACTCTTGACCCAGGGGTTTTAGCCAACTATAGACCGATTTCTAACCTCCCCTTCCTCTCTAAGATTCTGGAGAAAGTAGTCGCCAAAGAGTTGTGTGACTTTCTACATAACAATAGTTTATTTGAGGATTTTCAGTCAGGATTTAGAGTTCATCACAGCACAGAGACAGCTCTGGTTAAAGTTAATAATGACCTTCTGACTGCTTCTGACAATGGACTTGTCTCTGTACTTGTATTATTAGATCTTAGTGCTGCATTTGACACCATTGACCATAATATTCTTTTACAGAGACTTGAGCATCAAATTGGCATTAAAGGAACCGCACTAAGCTGGTTTAAGTCATACTTATCAGATCGTTCTCAGTTTGTACATGTTAACGATGAATCTTCAATAAATACTACTGTTAGTCATGGAGTTCCACAAGGTTCTGTACTTGGACCAATACTATTTACTTTATATATGCTCCCTTTAGGCAACATTATTAGGAATCACTCCATTAACTTTCACTGTTATGCAGATGATACGCAGTTATATCTATCAATCAAGCTCGATGAAATTAATCAGTTATCTAAATTACAAACATGTCTTAAGGACATAAAATCCTGGATGACCTGCAATTTTTTTATGTTAAACTCAGAAAAAAACGAAATTCTTGTTCTTGGCCCCAAAAACCTTAGAGACTCACTGTCTAAAGATATAGTCACTCTAGATGGCATTAACTTGTCCTCTAGCACCACTGTCAGGAATCTTGGAGTTATCTTTGATCAGGATTTGTCATTTAACTCCCACATAAAGCAGACCTCTAGGACTGCCTTCTTTCATTTACGTAATATTACAAAAATTAGACACATCCTATCACAGACAGATGCAGAAAAACTAATCCATGCATTTGTTACTTCAAGGCTGGATTACTGCAACTCTTTATTATCAGGTTGCCCCAATAAGTCCATTAAAACGCTCCAATTAATTCAGAACGCTGCAGCACGAGTACTGACAGGAACTAGAAAAAGAGATCACATCTCTCCTGTACTAGCTTCTCTGCACTGGCTTCCTGTAAAATGTAGAATAGAATTTAAAATCCTCCTCCTCACCTATAAAGCTCTTCATGGTCAGGCCCCTTCATATCTTAAAGAGCTCATAGTACCCTATTACCCCTCTAGAACACTACGTTCTCTGAATGCTGGGCTACTTGTGGTTCCTATAGTCTCTAAAAGTAGAACAGGAGCCAGAGCCTTCAGTTACCAAGCTCCTCTCCTGTGGAACCAGCTTCCAGTTGTGGTTCGGGAGGCAGACACCCTCACCACATTCAAGAGTAGGCTTAAGACATTCCTCTTTGATAAAGCTTATAGTTAGGGCTGGATCAGGTGAGTCCTGAACCATCCCTTAGTTATGCTGCTATAGGCCTAGACTATCGGGGGATTTCCCATGGTGCACTGAGCTCCTCTCTTCCTCTCTCTTTCTGCACTCATTCATGTTCCATTAATGCATGTTACTAACTTCACTTCTTCCCCGGAGTTCTTGTGCTTTCTCGTCTCGCAGGTTCTTATCGATCCTGGTGGAGCCTCCTGCCATGGTCCTGCTAGATTGCCATTGCCAATACTGTTGTCGCTGTGCACCTGTCTGTCTGTCTGTCTGTCTGTCTCTCTCACCCCAACTGGTCAAGACAGACGACCACCCACCTAGAGCCGGAGGATCTGTCCTAGGTTTCTGCCTTTTAACAGGCAGTTTTTCCTTGCCGCTGTCTCCAAGGTCTTGCTCATGTTGGTACTGTTGGGTCTCTGTAAATAATGTTATAAAGAGTTTGGTCTAGACCTGCTCTATTTGAAAAGTGTCCTGAGATAACTTCTGTTATGAATTGGTGCTATACAAATAAAATTGAATTGAATTTTTGAGAAACCTGCCTCACACAAATATGTCGACGCGAAAGGGAGGAGAATTTTCAAGGCGACTTCACAGAGTTGAGGGTATTCCTGCATCAATGCTGCCCAGAATGACAAAAGAGGGCAGGAGGTAAAGAGTTCCTTCAGCCTACTGTCAGCTCAATAAGCTGTTCCTGCATATCAATTGACAGCTTGTTTGGTGTGCACAGAAATGGATCTCGAACCCACGCAGCTCAGATGCTGATTGAAATAGAGAGGAGAAATCGTGTGACGTGCCTGCATCAGTGATAAAGTCTGCAAGGCTGGGGAACATGTCGCAGTTCCCTCGACGGATGCGGCCCTGCCAGAGGTCGAGTTTTTGTGTGAAGGCGTCCACTCTGTCTGCAAGGAGCAAAATATGAGTTTCGCAGCCTTGCAAAGACAGGTTGAGGCCATTCAAGCGGTCAAATATATCGACCAAATAGGACAGAGATGCTAGCCACAAAGTGTCATCCAGATGCTTCGCCAGATCTGATTTGATTTCTGTCAAAAACCACTTCACCTCCTCTCGCAGCTCATACAACCGCTGTAACACCCGCCCCCTGGAGAGCCAGCGAACTTCAGTGTGCAGAAGCAGCTGTTCGTGCCCTGACCCCATCTCCTGGCAGAGGACCCCAAACAAGCGAGAGTTTAGCGGCCGTGATTTGATGAGATTTATCATTTTCACGGATTGGTTCAGCATGGAGTCAAAGAGAACCAGAATTTTTTTAGCAGCCAGTGCTTTGCGATGGACCATGCAATGTGTCCATTTCACAAGTGGAGCTACTTGCTGAACGCGAGCAGCTAGGCCGCGCTCACGGCTCGTCATTGCCTGCGCACCATCATTGCATAGCCCAAAGAATCGGTCCCAAGCCAAACCATTTTCACAGATAAAAATATCAAGGACATTGAAGATGGCTTCTCCTGTAGTGTGCGACTGAAGAGGCCGGCAAAACAGGACATCCTCCTCAATCGCCTTGTCCTGCAGATACCTGACATAGGTGAGGAGCTGTGCCTGCCCAGCAATATCAGTGGATTCGTCCAGCTGCAGCGCGTAGTAAGGACTCTTTTTTATGAACTCAATCAGTTGCTCTCTGATATCATTAGTAGGGATGTAACGATACACTCAAATCACGATTCGATACGGTTCACGATTTTTTGTTCACGATACGATTTTCTCACGATTTATTTTTCTTTTATCAAAATGAGCTACAGACAAATTATGACCAAATAAAATGATCTTTTATTCGTAGGAAAAAAATCTTAGGTGCGCTCTCTTTACAGAAACTCTGTAAAACAGTTTGTCTCCTCTTATAAAAAGTGCAACTTACATGGTCATCTTAAACAACCAAATACATGAAAAATATCTCCTTTCTTTAGACACTATCTAGTAAGTAAGTAAACTGGTGTTAATTGGTGCAATTCAATATCCTAAATAACAAAAGAATATAAAATCTTGACCAAAAAAAGAGGTCCTTTCTTTACAGAAACACTGT